GACATCTTCATACCATTGCTAACATCTGACTGGTGTAACCAATTACTGTTTGTAAACTTGACTTGCATCTCATGTTTGCTTCTGATTCTATGTATGACTAACCATACTGTGAAATGGGTATATGAACTCTGCTAGATTTTAATCCATACAGTACTTTGTAACTCTTGATATAGAATAGGGTAGCAGTGCATAACTGTGAATACCTGAGCTTGTTAATAATAAATAAAACATTTTTATCAGCTTCTCCTTTACCATCTTTGCTTCACCATCATTATCATTTTTTATCTACACTTCATTATCATCACTGATGGAAAAACATGTCATGTGCACACAAAGAAAAGATACAGTGGATCTATGGAACCCTCGTGCTAGGCCCATCCACCTTTCCTAAGAGCCAATGCAATGAGAAAATTATTTTATCAAATACTGTTATGTACATTATATATATTTTTGGCCATCGGCAAATCTTTGTCTGCCAGGAAAAATTTCAGGCACCAGCCTGGTTACAGATCACCCAGAAGGCAAGCACTGAAAAGTGGATTGCAAAACTCACTGACACCCCCCAACCTGGGAATACATGGTGAGGGAAGGTGTAAGCCACTACTGGAGCACAAAAGCCACAAATGCTCTCTTGCAGGGTATCCCCCCACCCAAAAATAAATTTGGGGTAATCTGTAAAAAGCTACAAACTACCCCAACTACAGGGGTGGTATCAGGATGAAGCTCCTCAAAAAGAGACCCCCAAAGGACAGACTGTTTAACCCTCTCAGGATAGAGAACCCTGAGCAAGGGTAGGGTTGTTGTTTTTCTATGTTGCAGGGATATTCCCACAGGGGAACCTAAGCCACTGACTGGCCCACTACAAGGATAGGTGCAACTCTGGCAACAAGCAGCTTCTTAATCACAAGAAGTGATTAAGGTATGCCCAACTGTTTGGTGGTAATGAAAAAAACATGTGAAGCTATAAGGGAACAAACATAAGCACAGACCATTACATTAAACAAAGTCCAAAGGAAAGCAAACTTAGTTACTGGTGCCCATAGAGCAGTAGGCTGGAAAGTTTGACACCAACTGTGGGATTGTATCTTCTTTCACCCATAGTAGCCTTAAAAAAAAGGAACAAAAAGCAAGTTCAAGTGCCCAGAACTAAGCAAAGTCCCAAACCCATTATACTAGTCCTCAAATCCACTGCTCCTGGCACTTCACTATTGACAATACCTCTTGAGACAACACCTGGTCAGTTCTCACCTCCTGTGAGAATATTATCTTGCCGGTTGAGGTACACTCAACAGTTTGCCCATTGTCACATGCCACATCTGCATCGACTGATAGTGTAGTCCCACCTCCACTCTGTTGTCAAAGCTCAGGTGCCCTCTTATATAGACATGAATTGGTCTCGCTCCCTCTGTTTCCCTCCCTAAGTTTAGGTTATAACCTAAAAACACGTTATAACCTTCAAAATAGCATCATAATTTAATATCACCACCATTACATGGCACATAATTATACCTAATGAAGTTTTCATAGATGTTCATCCACAAAGCACTGGTTCCTTTTCCCTTTATTGAACTGTCCGAATAATTCTGTGCTCTGGCAACTCCGTCATCTCTTGGTGGATAAAGCTGGATATTTAAGATCACCAATGGCACAATAGACAAGAGGTTAAAGATCTCTCACCTTCCACTGCATAATTTACACGCCTTCCACATAATGTACAAATGAAAAAGATATAAGTACTGTATATATGTATGTACAGTAGTTGTATTACATATGTGTGTTTGTATTATATATATGTGTGTGGGTAGCTCAAATCCATTAGTTCCTTAATTGGGCCTCCTTATCCTCATCTAGATTCTGTCCTGTTCTCCATTGTCGTTCAAATATATTGTGATACTACTTTTAAAATCATCATCTGAAACTGATGACAATGGTGATGCTACATCCAAAAACTGGAACATACAATCTTGCTATTATCAACCAAGAAAAAATATCCTCCCATACCAAAGAAATAGGTAACATACATTACTACATGTGTGAGGCTTTCAAAAATTCTGGATATGGTTATATAAACATCCACTGGGTCCTCACTGTTGACACAAGACATATTCCTCTTTGTACCTCAAGTGCTCTGCACCTGATGTCATTCCCATCCATGCTGTCAAAGAGAGATGCACTGCTCCTCTCCTCTGGTCATAACAGCTTCCTAAAATCATATATTTCCCTGCTTGCACTGTCAGTCACTATGTAGGAAACTTCCATAAGATCAGTTATTATCTCTGAACTTCACTAAATATAGTCACTTATATATACTGGCCAAAGAATTTATTATCCACCAACAAAATAATTCTCTCGACCAATGGTAATCATCCACTCTCATGGATAGCTGTCTTCTAAACAACTGTGTCTTCAAGTGGTGGGCTTGTAATATCCAGGTGTACTCACAGGCACACCTATGGCTTTTTCAATACAAAATCCAGTCAAACTGTGAACTCCAAATTGTGCCTCCCAGTGGCACCCTATGTCGTTTTCCCAAAAACGTCTTTACTTGCAAATGATCCTGGGGTGCCCTATCGTGTGGCATCCATTCCTCCTCCATTGCTAGCTTGCTTCTTCAATTCCTCATGGCTCAATAATGGCTGGAACCAACCAGCACTTGTGCTAGCCAAACTAAGTAAAATTAATTTGAAGAACTTGAAAACGCATCTTCCTTGCACCATCTCCACCACCTGAGTTGTGGAGTAGTGCAAGTGGACTGGAGTGATGCAAGTGAATTGGAGCGGTGAACTAAACATAAAACTCATCTCGGTCCACGTCACAGCTCAAACTCTTCTTGTTGGATCCACGTGACATCATCCACCAATTCTTGAGTAGCACCTCCTTCCTCACAATATTTGAATATTCTAATATAAACCAGTACAACACATTGAACATGTATACCAATCCCCAATATATTTTTATTTTACTTATAATTACAAATGTTCTTACATTCTTGTAAAGCCACTAGCATGCATAGTTTTTCAGGTAGGTCCTTAATCCTAATTTTCCCAGGAATATGACCTGCCAATCTTTTAACAACCAGGTACCCATTTACTGCTGTGTGAACAGAGGTTTACAGTTAAGGAATGGTGCCTAGTCAATCCTTCTCAGCCAGGAAACGAATCCAGGTCAAATCGCTTGCAAAGCGGGAAGTGTTTTTTACCATTACGCCACACACTCTAGTTTGCCTTGTAACAAAAAAAAATTCTCTCTCAGTCCACAAGTATCTGAAAGGGGAAATAACTCATATATTAGGTGAAGATAGATTTTGTAACTGGACTGGGGATCATAACAATGTGTAAATAACGAGGGTGGCTTGCCAAGACCATCAGGTCACCGGGACTGTTATCTGATAGCAAGGGAGTGGTGTTAACTAGCAACTGAACCTAGACAAGTGAGTACATAGTTCGAATTACAATTGTAAATGTACTCCAAGCAGTTGCTTTCTCATAATTTTTCCTGGGGTGCCTGACAGCTGGGTGGACAGCACTTCAGATTCGTAGTCCTGAGGTTCCGGGTTCGATCCCCGGTGGAAGCGGAGGCAAATGGGCAAAATGTTTTACCCTGATGCCCGTTACCTAGCAGTAAATAGCTACCTGGGAATTAGACAGCTGCTTCCTGGGGGTGTGTAACAAAAAGAAGGCCTGGTCGAGGACTGGGCTGCGGGGACGCTAAGCCCCGAAATCATCTCAAGATAAACTCAAGATATGGTGATCTTGTATCCAGATTCTGACCCTGATCTCCTGTAGGAACTCACAATTCTTTAGAACTTGGTGAGATACCCAAGATTTGGAAGGGTCCTAATGGGTAGCTTAGAGCCACTGAGAGGTTCCCTATCAGAAGAAAAAAGTAGTTTCAATTTTGACGAGCCAGAGAAGGAAGCAGGAGTGGTCTGATAATTGTTTTTCTATTCCAAACACATGGGTTGTTGACACTGGTGCAGGGGGAGAGGACTTGCATGGTGACCTAGGGACATACTTGTGTTCAATGTTTAATTTAAACTCCATTGTGCAAAATAGTATGCATTGGTTGGGATTTGTATATACATAATTGACAAAAATATAATCGAATAATGCATAGAGGGCTATAATATGCGCACCAATTGCACATAAATCTATTAATGGCACTGATTAAATAAAGTGCCTTGCAACCCACTCTTTTACTGCTATTTTGTCTGGGAATGTAGTCAAGGTACAGATTCAATTATAGGCAGGAAATCTAAGACATCATTTGATGACAACCACAGCCCCAAGTAGATGGTAACCTCATTTGCATAATAAGTAATTACAAAGTAACTAGAATTTTTTCACGAGTCTTGGTTAACTCCATTTCATGCATATAGAGCTATTTTAATCATATTAACATCACTAATATACAAACCAGACAAAAATAATGATAATCACCAAAGGACAATAACCACAGTAACTTAAATCCACAAATGACAATGTGACAGCACATTGTGAGTTAATTCTGCTGAAGGTATTATCATTTAATGCCAAATAATTATATTATGACCCCATTACTTATGACCCAAATAATGTGATTACGGAATACCTGTATATTTATTAATTGCAACTGTCTAAGGAGATGTATAAAGACATTAATTCTAATTCTAATATTAGATTATCTCTGTGCAAATCCATACCAGTTATCAATTCCAGTATTTCTTAAGATTATTTCTAAACTTTTTATTCAAATTTGTCTTGCAATACCTTTTCAAAATTCCTAAACATTCCCAAGTGTTGCCAAATCTCCTGTTATTACTGAATTTAATTTTTAATTTAGCAACCAAAACTGGTGGAACCTCTAAGTACAGTACTTTAAATATTGCTATAAATCTTTCATTGCCGAGAATGCTATTTTAAAAAAGCAAAATTATCAGGAAAATGTATGCACTATGAAAGAATATGATAAAAACAATAATAGTAACAGGCAATCATAAAAGGATAATTATTCAAAGTAAAATTATACAATTCATTCATTAATCATAATATATTTACAGATCATGTTATACACAAACTACAGACCAAATAAAATATATCAATTTGGTATCTTATAAACATTAAGAAAAAAGTTGACACACACATAAGCAATAAACTTTTCATATACAGTATTTTAATCAAAGATTGATAAGGAATTATGTTATGTGCCAGGTACAAGGCTTTGCCATGTACCTGGCAAATCCACTAGCATCAGAAAAGTGTAATCCGAGAAAAAATATTGTCAAAATCACATTCTAATTCATTTATGCACTCTAGATGCACATTCAGATACACTTTTTTGTTAAAAAAAACTTTATTTACTCAGTATGTTTTTAGTACATAACATTTAAATCAGATAGATCTGACTAAATGCCAACATTAATTTTTTCTATGTTTAAAGGTTTCAAGATGCATACTAGTTAAATAGGCCATTTCCATTGCCCAGGAAGTGGTTCCTGCACAAGGGGTTCCCAAGGCTTCCAGTCCAACATTTTGCGTGCTAGTGTTAGTTCATTCTCTGCCTGTTGGATCACCTCTTCAATCTGGCCGCAACTGATGGCCTTCTCTAACTTCGACACATCTGCCTCCTGTAAAAATTTTACAAACGTCAAATTGTATTGAAATGCAATAGTTACTATATGCCATATTAGCCAGCAAATGTACATTTTCTAGATAAACTGTGCTGGTTATGCTTAGTTGTCTTAAATACAGCGGAAGGGAAGAAAACTATCAGGGGAAAGTGCCAAGTCATTACGACTATATCACACTTGAAAGTGGTCAGGATAAGAATATGGGATGGGACGGGGGGAAGGAATGGTGCCTAACCACTTGGACGGTTGAAATGTCATCCAGTCGAAATGCTGGAAATTATGGTTAAATGCCGAAAAACTACAGTGGAAGTAGAGACAACTTATGCTTGTCTCTACATAGTAGAGACAAGCATAATGGGGGCATAATATCACTGGGAGCAGCAGCAGGATCGGGGCATAACAGCATTAAAAGCAGCAACAAGATGGGGAACACATATTAGCACTGGCAACAGCAGCAGAATGGGGATATAATAGCACTGGAAGCATAACATAATAGCAGTAGATGGGATATAACAGTGGAAGCAGCAACAGATAAGGAATTGTGGATGGAGGGAATTATCAGACGAAAGCGCCAAAGCCATTACGACTATATAGCATAGAACCATAGAATGATGGCATAATAGCAGGTGTGGGCATAAGCAAAATGGGTGTATAATAATGGTGGAGGCAGTAGCAGGATAGGAACATAATATTAGTGGAGGTGACAGCAAGATGGGGAAGGGGGGGGGGGGTCATAATAACGGTAGGCACAACAGTGTAGTACTGTACCAGGCATAGAGGCAAACAAAAATTCCTGGAGCAAATAGAAGTATAGATAGTATAATTAAATTTAGAGTAATTATAATTAAATAATAGAGTAAGAAAAGGTCAATGAGGATTTTAGAAAAATGCAGTATCATCAATGTAATGAATTTTTTGGGAACTTCCATTTAAGACAAAAGAAATACAAAGTTGAAGACAGCTATAATTAAAAATCAATATCTGGAAAAGCTACAAAGTGGATGGCACACCAGCAGAGGTGTTAATGTGGTGGTGCAAAAGCAATCGATTAGCTGTACAAAACACGTGTAAGAGACTGACCTACTGAAAAGTGGTGCCAGATGATTGTACCAGAGCAGGTACATGTAATATCTTTATAAAAGGCCAAGAGTAGCAATATATAGGAATTACAGGGGAAATAGGTTATTGAATACTGTAAAGTGGGAGCCAATATAGTTGTAAGCAGGAATATGCATAGTACATAATTTATATAAATGTCGGCTGCAATAAATTTAGCAAAATTGAAAGTAGAATAACATTCATAGACCTAGTGTGAATTTAGATGTTCTTTGGGAGGTCTTAAAATCATTAGTATTGGGGGAGGGGGGGGGGGGGAATTATTAGGTACAATTACTTTTTATCAGAAGCAAAGTGTATGAAAGCAAACGGAATATCAAGTGAAGTTTTCAGCATATACAGTACTGTATTGGTTAACCTAGTTGTCTAGTACAGTAGTGCACATAGTTATGAAAACAGTAATCCCCAGAATACCTTCAAAGGTATAGTGACAATATAAGAACATATACATGGTTATCACCTCTTAAGAATCCTGATTTAATGAAGGCCAGATTTTGAGCCCTAAGACAAAACAGCTAAATAGGCACCACCACCACAGCTAAATAGGTTATTTAAAGGCTAAAAATATACATGAAGACAGCTCATATCATAATATGTAATGATCAATTATCAGTTATATTATTCATACTTTTGCAGAGGAATACATCGAGGCCACATTCCTATGCTCATGTACGTTTTAATTCCTTTTTCCAGAAAACAACAGTATACATAAAAGCAACCAGAAATGATGATAGTTTCAATAAAATAATAGTACAGTATATATCAAAATAATTTACATTTATCACAGTTATATTATGCATAATGCATAGTTTTCCATAAGAATGCCTAGAGGCCAGGACTTATACATTTTAACTCCTTTCTCCAGTAAATAACAAAAGTAAGCAAAACTGCTTTTAACTAAATACTGTACTTGTAATTATTAAAGTAATTAGACAATCACTGCATAAAAACTTTAACACACTCCATAGATTTCACAAACCTATGATGACTAAATAAAAACTTGGCACTTAATTCAAGTAAAGTAATCAACAATTAATTACAGGAAAGTATTCTCAATACTGTATATTTGCACAAAATATTAGTAACTATTAAATAAACACAACATATATACACAGTAGAGCATATGGGATGTGTTTAGTATATAGTTAGCATATAAATATATGCTGAATGAAAATACCAGACTAGGGTATACTGCCCTAGGCTGGTATTTTACCAAGTTACTCTTCTATTTTGGTCAGTTACCAAGTAAACTGATTACTTCAAATATTATTTGATATCTGTTCAATTTTATGGAACAAAAAAAGTACTAGTGAGCCCTAGGCCATGGCCTACTTGGCCTACTAAATAATCTGGCCCTGAGTTAACCTGAAATTGACCAGTATGCACCAATAATCAATTAAAAATACATTCTTACCGTTTTCACAAGAGCACTTCGTTCACCGATTATCTGCTCCGTGTATTTGCGGTACGCAGCATCATGAGGCATTTTTTGTAGACACCGCATAATTTTGCCATACAGGACTCCAAGTGTGTGATGTGGGTTACGAGCTACAGGCAACCCGGTAAGTGCTGTCGACTGAAAACCATCACAAAATTTAACACAATGTTTTCTTGAAAAGGCAATTATAAGTTTTTGGCAATTATTACGGAATAACTAAAAATGAAGAATATTTAAAACAACACATTCTCAGCAAATCTATATTCTGCAGAATATCAGTATCTAAAAGGTGTGTCAGAGTTGAAACTAAGGAAAGGTAAGGTAATGAACAAATTCACAAAAGCCATGACGAGGATTCGAACCTACGTCCAAGAGCATCCCAGACGCTGCCTTAATCGACTGAGCTATGATACGGTCAAAAGAATTGCAAAGAAGTTCGACTGAACTTACTGAACTTTCTACCGAACTTTGATGTATCACGCTATTGTGATTTCTGTGTGTAAGGTAATGTTTCTTTACTGAGCAGTGATGGCATGTAATGTCAACTTTCAAAAGTTGTTAAATTTGAACTCCAAGGAATTTACTTTCTAATTTGCATGTTACTTGGGAATTGTTAATACATATATGCATACATATGAACTTTATTGAAACACTTTTAAACAATGCATGTAAATATCATCAGTTTCAAACTCAAGCCACAATGTTGGACAGAAAATTGGAGATGCTTCTTTACCTATAGGGTTATAAATCCAAGGAACCGCCTACCTGCCAAAGGCATAAATTCCAAAACACTGCTGCAATTCAAGATCCAAATAGATAAAATCCTCAAAACAAATTGGGGGACTTTTGACAAGCCTCCGGCTTCCTGTCATCGTTGAACCCACTGTGGAGATAGTTACTTAAAAGGTAAATTCAGGTAACAGTTTTCAACACTGGTTTTAACACAACAATAATGAGTTGTTGTTTATGGTTTTAAATGACAACCCGTACATTCAACTTGAATGACATTTATCTACCAGATGCGAAATATGGATAGAGTGCAAATATTTCAGATATATTTATGATTTACAATAAAATTGTCCTAATTAAAAAATATGTTCCCCCAAGTTGGCCATTACCGGCGAGATGTAATTAAGTCAACCTGCAGTTTTTGTCATTATATTATTAACCGTGATGCAAGTTAAACACTACACCACCCTCAGTACTGCTCGTAAAACGGCCAAAGAGGCATAGACGAGCCGTGAATACCGACAGATATGAGCTACTCACCACCTTCCTGGCCGCCATGTCTCTTGGGATACCGACCTACAATTATTTATTTTATATAGTTGGCGATTATAATTCATTTCAGTAGTTTCGTTGTTTATAAATTATTTTACTTATAAAATTTTTATGCGAAAAATGCTCATGGTTAGTGGCTTAATAAAAAATATATAGAATTAATCCCAAATTTAGAAAGGCATTAAATTATCAAAAAAGAAACTCAGCTGAAACTCCCAAGTTTCATTATGAGCTGAAACTCCCAACCACATATGAAGGAATTGAGCAGCTCAATACTACCTTCTGTATAAGGGTGATGATTTCAATTTCTTTTCAATTTCTTTCTTTATTAGGCACCCCATACCCATCCCGTGGGCGGTGGTGAAAAGGGTTACAGAGGCACATAATCAGTTTAGGAACTGAACCCTCTAGTTCGTTTATCTAAGCAAATAACAATTTTTGACGCTAGTTACAAAATTATTAATGTTATATATATACATGTACACATTCTCATAGATACATGTACATATATATGGCTTTAGGCTACTAGGCATGGCTTTAGGTACTAGTGGCTTTAGGTATTGTATATACTACCTCTATCTTTAAATCTAACAGAATGTTTGTACTGTAACGCTGCAACTATGTATGTACTGTTCCTAAATAAATTATTATTATATATATGTATACATATATACATATTTAATCACCCACACAAATACACACATCAATAATCTCTTTTGTCACAAGTACTTCAACAAGAGGCTCACAACAGTCACTATACAAGGCACTTTACATCTATGGTGAGTCACACAGTTACTAGTCTTGCTGCACACCCACCCAACTGGGCGGCAGCTTTACAGTCATGTGCATGCATTACTTACAGTAAGCAAATTTTGGATACTTCGCTAAGATTTCGGGCAGCACATCATTATGAATGAAATACTTACACATTTCTTGGACACTATTGATGGTGTTATCTCTAAATTCCGCGAACTTTTCACATTCCATTATATAATGACGCAAAATATGCGAATAGTTCTGCTGACAGAGTTTACATATAGTCAAATCTACATCAGCAGATGTTACAAACTCCCAGAGGTACTTGTAGCCGAGCCTAAGCCTAGCAGTGGTAACATCTAGAAGTCTGCTAACATTATTGGATGACCCATAGACGTGCGGTTCTTCCTGCATTATAGAATGATGATAGATGGAGTAACTGCCCGAAACGCTGCGCGTACTAGTGGCTTTACAAGATTGTAAATACTATGCTATGTATTCTCACAAACCCAATGTACCTTCTTGTATATAAATAAATAAATAAATAAATAAATAAATAAATGGTGTGAATTTCAGTTTGCTTCAAGTCTCTAAAATTTAGTTGATGTTCCTGGGATACTGCTGCCCTCAGGCTGCTCAAAGGCATTCCAAAGTTGGTAATCAATTCCCTCTTTACGAGCAAAAGTATATAATAAACGTAGAAATTTTGTATCTTCAACAATTTCCTTTGGGCGTTCGTCTGTTCCACCATAATTGCCCAGTAGATAAACGAGTAACTTGTTTTTTTGTATCCTACACTGTGTAATCTTGCATATAGAATAGGATAGTAACACATTGCTGTGTATACCTAAGCTTGTTAATAAAAAAAGGGAACAAATTTGACCCAAGTGATACTTGGGTCAAGTGATACTTGGGTCAAATTTGTTTGACCCAAACAAATTTGTGTGAGGCAGGGTAGCCAGATTGGGCTACAAGTAGCGAATTGGACTACTTTTGAGAGCCCCACGCTCCCAAATTTTTAATTTCGCTACTTGCGACTTTTTGGGCTAGTTTAAACGCAAGTTGGGCTACTTTGGGCTATTAATATTAAAAAACTCAATGATTATTTATGCTTTAATAATATAATCTGTACAAATCACAGCCAAGTCCATCAGCCTGATTGACTAGACCACTTACCGCAGGAGAGCCCTGGTCAGAGACCGGCCCCTGGGGACGTTGATCCTAGGAACCTTTGAAAGAAAAACTAACCGCAAGGCAAGGTAATCCTCCCCAGGGGAAATAGATTTTCGGTACAAAAAGTCGTAATTTGAAAATGAAAATAGGTGCAGAGAGTCAGAATTCGGCTCAAAAATCACAATCAAGAGTCAAATTTCCGACATTTCAGATATTTTGAAAACTGCAGGGGGGTTTGGGCAAAATATGATCCATTGCCGTTTTCAGTAATTGGCATATATTCGGTATAAAAATTCGTAATTTGAAAATGAAAATAAGTGCAGAGAGTCAGAATTCGGCTCAAAAATCACGCTCAGGAGTCAAATTTCCGACATTTCAGATATTTTGAAAACTGCAGGGGGGTTTGGGCAAAATATAACCCATCACCGTTTTCAGTAAATGACATATTTTCGGTATAAAAAGTCGAAATTTGAAAATGAAAATAGGTGCAGAGAGTCAGCATTCGGCTCAAAAATCACGCTCAAGAGTCAAATTTCCAACATTTCAGATATTTTGAAAACTACAGGGGGGTTTGGGCAAAATAAGACCCTTCGCCGTTTTCAGTAATTGGCATATTTTCGGTATAAAAAGTCGTAATTTGAAAATGAAAATAGGTGCAGAGAGTCAGAATTCGGCTCAAAAATCACGCTCAAGAGTCAAATTTCCAACATTTCAGATATTTTGAAAACTACAAGGGGGGTTTGGGCAAAACATGACCCATCGCCGTTTTCAGTAATTGGCATATTTTTGGTATAAAACGTAGTAGTTTGAAAATAAAAATAGGTGCAGAGAGTCAGAATTCGGCTCAAAAATCACGCTCAGGAGTCAAATTTCGGACATTTCAGATTTTTTGAAAACTGCATGGGGCTTTGAGCAAAATATGACCCCATCGCTGTTTCAGTAATTGGCATATTTTCAGTATAAAAAGTAGTAGTTTGAAAATAAAAATAGGTGCAGAGTCAGAATTAGGCTAAAAAAATACGCTCAGGAGACAAATTTCGGACATTTCAGATTTATTTAAAACTGCAGGGGGGTTTGGGTAAAATATGACCCTTCGCCGTTTTCAGTAATGGGCGTATTTTCGGTATAAGAAGTCGTAATTTTGAAATGAAAATAGGTACAAAGAGTCGGAATTCGGCTCAAAAATCACGCTCAGGAGTCAAATTTCGGACATTTCAGATTTTTTGAAAACTGCAGGGGGGTATGGGCAAAATATGACCCATCACCGTTCTCAGTAATTGGCATATATTCGGTGTAAAAAGTCGTAATTTGAAAATGAAAATAGACGCAGAGAGTCAGAATTCGGCTCAAAAATCATGCTCAGGGGTCAAATTTCGGACATTTCAGATATATTGAAAACTGCAGGGGGGTGTGGGCAAAATATGACCCTTCGCCGTTTTGAGTAATTGGCATATTTTCGGTATAAAAAGTGGTAATTTGAAAATAAAAATAGGTGCAGAGAGTCAGAATTCGGCTAAAAAATCCCGCTCAGGAGTCAAATTTCGGACATTTCAGATTTTTTGAAAACTGCAGGGGGGTTTGGGCAAAATATGACCCTTCGCCGTTTTCAGTAATTGGCATATTTTCGGTATAAAAATTAGTAGTTTGAAAATGAAAATAGGTGCAGAGAGTCAGAATTCGGCTCAAAAATCACGTTTAGGAGTCAAATTTCGGACATTTCAAATTTTTTGAAAACTGCAGGGGGGTTTGGGCAAAATATGACCCTTTGCCGTTTTCAGTAATTGGCATATTTTCGGTATAAAAAGTAGTAGTTTGAAAATGAAAATAGGTGCAGAGAGTCAGAATTCGGCTCAAGAATAACGCTTAGGAGTCAAATTTCGGAAATTTCATATATTTTGAAAACTGCAGGGGGGTTTGGGCAAAATATGACCCATCGCCGTTTTCAGTAATTGGCATATTTTTGGTATAAAACGTAGTAGTTTGAAAATGAAAATAGGTGCAGAGAGTCAGAATTCGGCTCAAAAATCACGCTCAAGAGTCAAATTTCGGACATTTCAGATTTTTTGAAAACTGCAGGGGGCTTTGAGCAAAATATGACCACATCGCTGTTTTCAGTAATTGACATATTTTCAGTATAAAAAGTAGTAGTTTGAAAATGAAAATAGGTGCAGAGAGTCAGAATTAGGCTCAAAAATTACGCTCAGGAGACAAATTTCGGACATTTCAGATTTATTTAAAACTGCAGGGGGGTTTGGGCAAAATATGACCCTTCGCCGTTTTCAGTAATTGGCATATTTTCGGTATAAAAAGTCGTAATTTGAAAATGAAAATAGGTGCAGAGAGTCAGAATTAGGCTCAAAAATCACGCTGAGGAGTCAAATTTCGGACATTTCAGATTTTTTGAAAACTGCAGGGGGGTTTGGGCAAAATATGACCCTTCGCCGTTTTCAGTAATTGGCATATTTTCGGTATAAAAAGTCGTAATTTGAAAATGAAAATAGGTGCAGAGAGTCAGGATTCGGCTCAAAAATCACGCTCAGGAGTCAAATATCAGACATTTCAAATATTTTGAAAACTGCAGGGGGGTTTGGGCAAAATATGACCCATCGCCGTTTTCAGTAATTGGCATATTTTCGGTATAAAAAGTAGTAGTTTAAAAATGAAAATATGTGCAGAGAATCAGAATTCGGCTCAAAAATCACGCTCAGGAGTCAAATTTCCGACATTTCAGATATTTTGAAAACTGCAGGGGGGTTTGGGCAAAATATGACCCATCACCGTTTTCAGTAATTGGCATATTTTCAATATAAAAAGTCGTAATTTGAAAATGAAACAAGGTGCAGAGAGTCAGAATTCGGCTCAAAAATCACGCTCAGGAGTCAAATTTCCAACATTTCAGATATTTTGAAAACTGCAGGGGGGTTTGGGCAAAACATGACCCTTCGCCGTTTTCAGTAATTGGCATATTTTCGGTATAAAAAATAGTAGTTTGAAAATGAAAATAGGGGCAGAGAGTCAGAATTCGGCTCAAAAATCAGGCTCAGGAGTCAAATTTTGGACATTTCAGATTTTTTGAAAACTGCAGGGGGGTTTGGGCAAAATATGACCCTTCGCCGTTTTCAGTAATTGGCATATTTTCGGTATAAAAAATAGCAGTTTGAAAATGAAAATAGGTGCAGAGAGTCAGAATTCGGCTCAAAAATCACGCTCAGGAGTCAAATTTCGGACATTTCAGATATTTTGAAAACTGCAGGGGGGTTTGGGCAAAGTATGACCCTTCGCCGTTTTCAGTAATTGGCATATTTTCGGTATAAAAAGTCGTAATTTGAAAATGAAAATAGGTGCAGAGAGTCAGGATTCGGCTCAAAAATCACGCTCAGGAGTCAAATTTCAGACATTTCAAATATTGTGAAAACTGCAGGGGGGTTTGGGCAAAATATGACCCATCGCCTTTTTTAGTAATTGGCATATTTTCGGTATAAAAAGTCATAATTTGAAAATGAAAATAGGTGCAGAGAGTCAGAATTCGGCTCAAAAATCCCGCTCAAGGGTCAAATCTCGGACATTTCAGATATTTTGAAAACTGCAGGGGGGTTTGAGCAAAATATGACCCCATCGCCTTTTTCAGTAATTGGCATATTTTCGGTATAAAAAGTAGTAGTTTAAAAATGAAAATAGGTGCAAAGAGTCAGAATTCGGCTCAAAAATCACGCTCAGGAGTCAAATTTCCACCATTTCAGATATTTTGAAAACTGCAGGGGGATTTGGGCAAAATATGACCCATCACCGTTTTCAGTAATTGGCATATTTTCAATATAAAAAGTCGTAATTTGAAAATGAAAATAGGTGCAGAGAGTCAGAATTCGGCTCAAAAATCACGCTCAGGGTTCAAATTTCGGACATTTCAGATATTTTGAAAACTGCAGGGGTGATTGGGCGAAATATGACCCTTTGCCGTTTTCAGTAATTGGCATATTTTCGGTATAAAAAGTAGTAGTTTGAAAATGAAAATAGGTGCAGAGAGTCAGAATTCGGCTCAAAAATCACGCTCAGGAGTCAAATTTCCGACATTTCAGATATTTTGAAAACTGCAGGGGGGTTTGGGCAAAATATGACCCATCGCCGTTTTCAGTAATTGGCATATTTTCGGTATAAAACGTAGTAGTTTGAAAATGAAAATAGGTGCAGAGAGTCAGAATTAGGCTCAAAAATTACGCTCAGGAGTCAAATTTCGGACATTTCAGATTTATTTCAAACTGCAGGGGGGTTTGGGCAAAATATGACCTTTCGCCGTTTTCAGTAATTGGCGTATTTTCGGTATAAAAATTCGTAATTTTGAAATGAAAATAGGTGCAAAGAGTCAGAATTCGGCTCAAAAATCAAGCTCAGGAGTCAAATTTCGGACATTTCAGATTTTTTGAAAACTGCAGGGGGGTTTGGGCAAAATATGACCCATCACCGTTTTCAGTAATTGTCATATATTCGGTGTAAAAAGTCGTAATTTGAAAATGAAAATAGGTGCAGAGAGTGAGAATTCGGCTCAAAAATCATGCTCAGGGGTCAAATTTCGGACATTTCAGATATTTTGAAAACTGCAGGGGGATTTGGGCAAAATATGACCCATCACCGTTTTCAGTAATTGGCATATTTTCGGTATAAAAAGTCGTAATTAGAAAATGAAAATAGGTGCAGAGAGTCAGAATTCAGTTCAAAAATCACGCTCAGGGGTCAAATTTTGGACATTTCAGATATTTTGAAAACTGCAGGGGGGTTTGGGCAAAATATGACCCATCGCCGTTTTCAGTAATTGGTATATTTTCGGTATAAAAAGTAGTAATTTGAAAATTAAAATAGGTGCAGAGAGTCAGAATTCGGCTCAAAAATCACGCTCAGGAGTCAAATTCCGGACATTTCAGATATTTTGAAAACTACAAGGGGGGTTTGGGCAAAATATGACCCTTCGCCGTTTTCAGTAATTGGCATATTTTCGGTATAAAAAGTCGTAATTTGAAAATGAAAATAGGTGCAGAGAGTCAGAATTCGGCTCAAAAATCACGCTTAGGAGTCAAATTTCCGACATTTCAGATATTTTGAAAACTGCAGGGGGGTTTGGGCAAAATATGACCCATCGCCGTTTTCAGTAATTGGCATATTTTCGGTGTAAAAAGTCGTAATTTGAAAATGAAAATAGGTGCAGAGAGTCAGACAGGGGTGCCAGATTGGGCTACAAGTAGCAAATTGGGCTACTTTTGAGAGCCCCACGCTCCCAAATTTTTAATTTCGCTACTTGCGACTTTTTGGGCTAGTTTAAACGCAAGCTGGGCTACTTTGGGCTATTAATATTAAAAAACTCAATGATGATTATTTATGCTTTAATAATATAATCTGTACAAATCACAGCCAAGTCCATCAGCCTGATTGACTAGACCACTTACCGCAGGAGAGCCCTGGTCAGAGACCGGCTCCTAGGGACGTTGATCCTAGGAACCTTTGAAAGAAAAAGTAACCGCAAGGCAAGGTAATCCTCCCCAGGGGCAATAGATTTCCCAACCTTAATTGTTAATGATACTTCATCCCAAAAGCTACACCTGGTTCCACAGATTAAGGGGAGTTTAAGGGTTTCATTAAGGGGAGAAAGTTATCTAGAAATTTACAGATTGATAAATGATGGGAAATACCTTTGTCAGGAAGACGATGGTTGGCAAGGAGCGGTAGTGTAAATTACCGGCCGTTTGATCAGTGGGGTTCTCTAACAACTCATTACCAAATAGCTTTTTCCTCTTGTGATAAATATGTTGCAAGGCAACTATTTTCAATGTACGCTGATCCCTCCAATAAGCTATATTTCACATGTCTCAAACCATTCCTAAATGATTTTGAAAGGATGAATTTACTTTATCAAAAGATGAAGCAGATCAGTATAGCCTTCACACTGTCTTAGAAAACTTCACTCTTGGAAAACTCAGAAGAATCTTTCGTCCTCATCATGCAAAGCTTCATGTTAATTTGGACTACAATTCTATGTATCTGCCCCTGGAGAATGTTGACTTTGGTTACGAATTTTCAACACTTCTGGCCACTAACAGACAAAACAATTTTACAACCCAGGAAAAGTTTCAAAATGTTCAAGAAAGATGCGATATTTTTTTAATGAAAGCTTGCAAATAGCTTCTTTCTAGTATTCTAAGTAATGTTGAAACTATAAAAAAAAGTGAAAAATCTGTTACCTATCATATGCCTTAGCTTACATGGCCACCATTTTCGGAACTTCCGTTAGTATTAGCTAACCAATCTAAGCTTAGTGAAATTGAAAGTCAGTGGCGCCTACTGTTAACCATTGACTAGTCCAACATTTGTAAGGGACAAATTCCGACATCTGAATCGTCATTTTAGACCAAGACAATAACTGTCAAGAACACTGCTAGCGATCCCATACTGATTGACCTCGCTGAGTTTGTGTTGAAAATATACAGCTTGTAATGCCCTGGTTGAACGGATATTTTCAAGAGTAACGTCTGTGAAAATTAAACTGAGAAATCTTGAATGGGAATGGGACTTGAGCTTTTGACATCAGTCTTGAGAATCAAAACATATCTTGAAGAATATGTAACTTGTTGCTCGTCATTTGAACCACTCATGTCAATGCTTAAATATGAGTCTGCAATATACAAGAACGAGGTTGTGGATGCAGATCAAGATGTTGGTAATCTTCAACTGTAAAGACGTGGAAGGACTCCACACCCATTAAGCTTCAAACAGTAAATATTGGTAAGTTATCCTATTATCATATTGGTTAAATATATATATATATGCAGAGGTAATGTTAATAAAACAATTAAAATCGTTTAATGTACTCTATATATCATAATAGATTACTTTGTAACCCGTATCAGTCACTAAACAAAAAATTGGGCTACTCTTATTACAAATTCGCTACTTTTAGACCGTCAGCTCGCTACTTTTAGCAATTTGAATCTGGCAACCCTGAACTGAGGTTTCAGTATGGTGTCTCACTCGCTTCTAGCATAGCATAATTACTGACGCTCCTGTAACAACCCTCTGACGTGCCAAGATCTGATTCAACCTTAATCAAACCGTATTTGGTCTGGAAGATGAAGGACAAAGTACAGACAGGTGAATGTTAAGTCCTAGATAGCTATTAAGGACCCCCATATACGTCTCCTGAGGGTGTGTGGGGGAGAAGGGTTAGTTATTTGATTTACCTGAAGGCCACTAACCCTTGATGAGGACAGGAAGCCAACAGGTTGTCGAAGGTCCCCCAACCAACTTTCCTTGTTAATCTTTTCCATGTATATACTGAAATTCAGCATAATTTTGCACTTACAGCTTCGGCGGGTAGGCGGTTCCATGGGTTAATAACCCTGTGGACGAAAAAGCATCTCCTGTTCTCAAGCTTGTTGAGCTTGAAACCATTGCTCCTTGTTTGTGTTATATCTGACCTTTTGGAACTATCTGGATCAACATCCTCTTAACTTATTCAGTGTTTTAAAAGTGTTATGAGATCCTCCGTGTCATGCCTGGTTTGCAGTGTTGCTAGCCCCTTGTGGCTGTGGTTATATAATGGCTTCATTTACTAGAACCCGGTGATTTTTTGGCTAAATAGTTTAGATAAACTATTAGTTTATCTAAACTTGATTTGAGCAGGGGCTGTGTACCTGTAAAATTAGTGTAATGCTAAAATTGTGCAACTCATACTCGGTTTGATATAGGAAAAATAGGATTAATTTTTATAGTTTTCTGAAAGTCTACTCTGCTCATTAAAACATTTAGTGCCAGTACTGTATTTGATACATTTATTTCTCATACTCTCCCCATGTTCTAACTACAGATACTGTACCGAACAAAATGAAGTTCAGACTTTTTTGGGATGTTCAGACTTCAGAATATAATCCCTAACGTTTGTAAAACATAAAAAATGTGTGTGGGAGCCCAACTTACTTCAGAGAACAAAGTACACTGGCATATCATCAAATGCAGTGTACCTAATACACACCCCATCAAAATTCATCCTTACACTTAAAAATGCATTCAGTACTGTATTAAGAAACTTACTCTCATACTATTGACTCCACTTTCTCCCATAGGTGCAAAATGATGACTACCTATTCCAGGTACTCTTAAAATAAACCTTGATTATTAATTATATCATTATTATTATTATTATTGTTTTGCATATACAAATAATAATGCATATCAAATAGTCAATATATGCACTAAAATATATTATTTACTAAAGTTAAGGTTCATACAAAGTTAAGGATCGTTGGGTAAGGTTAGATGGTTTGGGTTGCGATATTTTGTTCATATTTTGACCATATTGTTCTTTATTGCTGTGTATGTACATAATTTTTGTACATTTCAGTATATGTTAAAAGCAACCAATCCTCCTGTTTAGGTAGTAAAGTGGTGCCTCGGTTAATGAATTTAATCCTTTCCGGCATTGAGCTTGTCATGTGAAACGTTCTTCTTGCGAAACAACAACAACATTGTCGTCTTAGGCATCCGAGAGCCAGCGGGAAAGCTAGGAAGCACCACGTGGTTTTCTCCTTAACCGAGCGGAAGCTCATTATTCAAGACAAATTTTCTGCGAGTGGCTCGCTCGTTACCTGAAATGCTCGTAGATGGGGCTACTCGTCACCTGAGGTTCCTCTGTACTTATAATAACAATGAGGACCATCATATATATATTGACGTAAAAGGCAATTAGAAAGTTGAAATTTGGACAAACCGGAAATTTTTGTACTGATGTTGTAAAGAAAACCTAACCCTAACCTAAACCTTCCTAGGCCTAATACATGCTATGTGAGACCTAATATAGTACATATATGTTATACTAGGCCTAGGAATATTTAAGTTTGTTTTTTTAGCCTTATTTTTTCGTGAATACTGTAGTACTAAATTCTACTATCTAATTGTCCATTATGTCTATGTATGTACAGTGGTTCACAGAGTTACAAAAAGTGCTATCTAAACAAAAGGATGGATAGGTTAATAGGTTACTAGAAAGTGTAATGAATTGGGTTTGTAACAACTTCGAAGTGCAGTCATGCAATTGCACACTGATAATTTTGTCCATCAATTCAAATTTATGTAAATCATATTTCTTATTTTATAAACATTTTATTTCCCAATACTGTACATTATATTTTACACTTTTAAAACATTATGACCAAGCATCAAATAATTGTTCTATATAGATTATACATATTGCATTTCAGTCTGTGGTCTGGTAGAGCCCAGCTCTCTGGGCAAAACTCTAACCCATGAGCATCTCTTTATGGAGTTTGATGTGGCATTTACTCCAGCCAAACCAGAGGAGAAGTACATGGAAGATTGCAAGTTTACTATGGAAAATTTGGGATGGATCAGACAAAATCCGTATGTAAAGTCATGCTTGTGAACAAAGGGTATCCATTGCAGTATCCTTTCCACGTCCTTGGTTGCAAAGTTTTCCTTGGGAGTGAAATAAACATGCTAGGTAATTAACGCGCTGTATGGTCTGCTTTTTGCTAAATTTGTTTCTCAAATGCTACCTTTTATAATACATGTACTGTACTATATTGTAAATAATATGTCTGCATGTCCTTCTTTCCCTCTTTCTTTAAAGTTATGAGAGATTTATTTTATTGAATGTGCTTCTCTTTATAATTCATATATGATTCCCAACTCCTAAACTGTACAGTTATTGTAGTATTTACACAGAAGACCATCACTAATTCCTGTAGGGAAATCTTGATCAGTCAAGCTCACATTATATTAACTCTTATAAGGAACTCTTGATAAATAACATTATAAGGAACTCTTGATAAATAATGAATCTGCTGATTTGAAGCATTACATTTCTACCATCTGTTGTTACCCTTGTTTTATTAATAAAATAAGTTACATTATTACTGTATATTTTTTTGATTTAAGAAAAGTAAATGTAGGCTATAATGCTTGGAATACATACATTTCCATTTTAACATCTGGCTTAAATATGCTATATCTCTGCTACATGGAAAACAATATTTTGTCGATACTGGTTGATATTTTTTATGCTTATAGGTACAGTCACAAATTCAACATAAATCTTACTCAACCTGAAGTACAGATGGCAGTAATGAAGGAAGTTAGCGAGTTCAAGAAACATGGTGGTAGTACCATTGTTGAAAACAGCACATTTGGATTAAATAGAAACGTTTCCTTTATGCGGAAACTTAGTCAACAGCATGAAGTTAACATAATAGCAGGAGCAGGTAAGCATAAAACTCATCCTATTTTAGTATATGCAAATGTACATGGGATGGAGCCAGTGCTGTACTACATACTTCATGCACAAAATGTGTATTCTTTTCACATACTAAAAAATAAGTAAGCAAGTTGATAAGACTTAGGATGCAGTAAAAATTGTAATGAACTTTTATCTGTTATCAGTCTCTCAACAATTATTTAAGTAAAAAGTTTACACAAACCTTCATGCCACCATTATTGTTACTTTTGCAACATTGTATTGTTATTCACTCTTGTAAGTAACTCACACTTATTTGTTTCATATCTTGAAATTGGCCAAATAAATATCAAATTTCTTAACCTTCAGTGCAAATATTTATATATGTTTAGTTCATTTATTATGTACCTGATACCCATCTGTGGTTGGTAGTGGAAAAGGTTACCGAGGCACATAATGGGCTCAGAAACTGAACCCCAAAATTCATTTGGCTAAGCAATTTACAGCCTTGATAAGCTAATTGCAAAATTTAATGTATACACTATTGTTATGATATCAAAACCACACATCAGAAAATGAAGAGATGACAGCATAGGGTCCATCTTGGACCATTATCAAGTCATGTATTGTTATGCCAAAAACAGGTTCAAGACGGACCACAAGTACAAGGTCCAAGCTAAGCAGGTTACATATGTGATGAGCTAGTTTCATAATTGATATGTTTATCCTGCACACAACCTCCCCATCCAGTGGTCAGCAGTGGAAATGTGAACATGAAACAATTTACTCGGCTGGGAAAGAACACCAAAATCGCTAACCATTTCATATCTGTAAAAATAGAAATGTGGTGATTAGATAGACAGAATTCTAACTTAGCCCAAATTGAGAGTACAATTAAAGCCAGCTTTAATATGAAGGTGTAGCAGATGAGAATACAAGGAAAATTACAGTATGTTACATTCTAAACATTACTCAAACTGTTCATCTTTTCCAACTGAATTATTTGATTAGGATTTGTTTGTTCTTCCAGGTTACTATGTGATGGCAGCACAAAACAAAGAAACCTTGGGTATATCTGTGGAAGATATGGTGAATTCTATGACAATGGAATTAACATTTGGATGTGGGGACACTCCTGATATAAAATGTGGCATCATTGGTGAAATTGGTTGTTCATGGCCATTGTATGGTAGGTGTTTTTTTTTAATTTTTATTGCATTTCTAATAAAAAAAGTACTTTCCATTTATACTATGACAATCTTTAACCCTTGACTGGCGCTAATTGTATATTTACGATTTTGGTCTAACTACTTGCATGGAGCACATTGTATATATATATACTTTTTAAAGTAAGGTTTAAAAGTCCTGCAACTCTACTGGGTTCACATCCGCTTCCTCAGGGCTCCAATAAACAGATGCCATTTAAAAAAAAATTGTGGGTATAATTCACGGGTGAGAAGGCCTCGGTACTGAGTGAGCAACCAAGGCTGGCTCATGCATCTAACAGTGCTGCTGTTCAGCTTGTGACCACAGCATTGCTTAAAAATGTTCAGATATACATGTAACTGCTATTATTTAGTGATAGTCTTACAGAAGAGCCTGATTGTGATATAGACCATGTACAATGTTCAGATATCAGTGAACAAAATTCTGTTCAAGAAGTTCACATTGCTAGGCAGGTATCCACAGCACACTGCCACTGTTTGGTCCATCTAAGAATCTTGAAATGATTTCTCATGTTCCTTTACAAAATAAACTTGTGAAAAATTATTATTTTACAGTATTTAGTTACCAGGACTCTGATAATGGCAGCACTGTGGTGAGAATTAGTGATTGTGTGATGTGGTGGGAGGAGCAATGTTGGTGGGGGAGGTGGCATCGTCAGCTGACTGGTGTGTGTCAGCTGTTATTATTGTTTGGAAATTTCATACCAGCTTAGTGGTTCATTATGGTGAAGAAAAATGTAGATACCTATATATAACATGTGTATACTGTATAGTGTAATAACAAAAACAATATGCTGTGAAGAGAAATCCTGGCAGTGAGGTAGCATTGTCAGCTGACTGTGTGGCGGCCTAATGTGGTAATTCCTACACTGATTATTGTTTAGACTCGCCATACCAGCTAGTGGTTCATTATGGTGAACAAAAATATAGATACAGTACTTATATATAACATGTGTACTGTATATAGTGTAATAACAGCAAAAATATTATTTCATAGTTTTATGAACATAATTTTGAATTGCTAATAAACTTCTGAGTGTAGCAATGGTTCACACATTTTATTATATAAATATGTCACACTACACACTATTGAAGAATATTACTGCAACCAAAAAAGGAGAGAAAAAATCAATTGGACATTGAAATAATTAGGTAATATCTTTGTGGCAACTCCTGCCTGACGGCTCGGGTGGAGGAGACTGGCCCTGGACGTGTATTCTTTCAGCGCATGTATCCTGCCAGACTTCCTTGCCCTATTACAGCCAAAATATGTCTTCTATGATTTGTTTATTATTTTTTATTATTAACACATTTTAACAATTTTAGAAGGAATGAAATTGTTTTAATTTTTTTATTGCACATGGCAGTGTTGTCGACTATTAATAGTTGCACTCCCAGGTGTTAAAAATGTTTTAGCCATTTTCTCTTATATAATGATAACCTTTCTTAATATGAAGCATAGTGTGTTCTAAATTATTAGAATGTCACCATAAATACAACAAATATGCATACTTTATATTTTTAGTTGCAAAATACAACCCATTTATAAATTTTTTTACACTGATTTGTGGCAAAGATTTTGTCTGGTCCTCGGAACTTCTTGGGCATTTTTCTGTTTGTTGAATAACTTCCTCTTCACCACCTACATAAATTTGTTCAGGTGTAGGTTAAATATCAAGTTCTTCTCTAGTAAATACAGATACTGTACATAGTGTTTGTTTAGAATACTATACCATGAATTTGTCATTATCACTTACTTGGCCTAACTCATTTTTCAAAGGGCCAGTCTGCTCAATGGGCATCTGTTTTCCCTTAGCCAGATTTTGCCATTGGGTATTTATTTTAATTTGATCATTATCATTCAGAGTTAGCACATGCTTTTTGTCTTACATTAAAAAGGTTAAAAATTTAATTGTCTTGGGTTATTTAATTTTTCTTCAAGCAATACTGTACTTTTATTTAATCTCTAATGGCTGGCATTTCTACTTTAATTTTAATCTGCTGTGAAAGAGAGCCAGATAGTCTAAATTGAACTCTATTGTTAATGTATTGCCGTTTCTTTTTCTCTCTCTCTCTCTCTCCAGACTTTGAACGTCGCACTATCCAAGCAGCAGGAGAGACACAGGCATTTTTGGGATGTCCAGTGATGTTTCATCCTGGGCGTTACCATGGTGCTCCTGAAGAAATTTTCCGTATCTACACAGAAGCAGGCGGAGACCCCCAGAAAATGGTGATGGGTCACCTTGATAGTTAGTATTGCATGCTTCATGGTTTTCTCAGAAAGTTACAATAGAATGCAATTAAATTATTTTATGGATTACCACAAGTACAGTAAGAGCTCGATAATTTGGATTCTTGTAACCCAATTCTCCTGGTAATCTGAAAGAATTCATATTTGAGTTTTATTCTCTCAACTTTACAAATTTAAGTTACCAAGAATTTTGCATTCAAAAGCCTGTATAAATTCAGATTTTTAACAATTTTGGACATTCCCAGTAAAAACTTTGGCTAACTTCAGTAGGGGTCGGCCCCATATAATTTGGACTATTGAGCATAGATGAAGAAACTTGGTGTGCTATGGACGACCGCATTAGTGGATTACCAAAGGATACTTCCAGTTGTAAAGACCCTTTTCAACTGTAAACAAATCAAGAACACTCAAGAATGTATGCATAGACATGTGGAAGACGACCTTACAGATAAGACTACACCAGCATAGCCTCAAAGGGTTCCCCACAAGATGTAAACCATTGGTAAGCCTTAATAACGGAATGCCATGGTCACAGTTTGCCACAAAGTACATAATAAACCTGTAGAGTTCAGAAACAAAGTATTATGGACAGATGAAGAGTAAAGAGGAAATTGAGGAAAGAAGGAACTATTCATGATCCAGAGTGTGGGAACCGACCTGTGAGATTTATATTTATTTAATTTATATGAATTTATATTTACGTTAATTTATATACTTCGATAGCAATTTGTATAATGATAAGTGGACTGTATTTCTGCAATAATCTCATAATCTCACAAATCGATCCTCTACACATTAGGGGGGTTTATTAATTAAATATATGCAGCCAATCAAACTACAGTAATAGACTACATACTATTAAACATTGAAGAGGTTCCTTATCTTATAGTACAGCAGGTTAGTCCACCAGGTATAACTAGGGTGTAGACACCAAATTATCCTCTTTGAGGTAGCTTCCATATCACCCAGTAACTGGTGCACAAATCCTTCCTCGTCTTGACCTGTCAAAAGTGCGCTAGCTGTGAAGCCAGAATCCTATATATGACAAGTTATATCAGAGAAAATAGTACATGGAACATGAAGACCTGGCTTAATTACCTTTAGTTTGAGGCGATTTCGCGATCTAACCGGGTCACCCTATATCCTGACATTAATGGCCATAAATGAATGATAAACGGGTTTCGGATAGACTTAACTTGAATTGTAGACATCGTGTTGGAGATGGTACCTTTGGTTTCCATAACACTACGTCCAAGTAAAATTAACAGGAGCCGTATTTGCTCCCGTGTGAGCCTCTGGTCTCAATATAAACAATGGCTGTTTAACACTCCATTCTATTGACGTTACTGGCTGACATTGTCCAGAATGATAGGAGCCGTACTCGCTCCACACGTCTCGGAGGTGACACAACAATGGCTGCCCTCCTTCCTCTCTGACGCCTGGCCTACTTTGTCCAGATTTCAGAAAGTGATAGAAGGGTCACATTTACTCTACTTTAATATTGATAATTAAGTTAATTTATATAAGATGTTTTTATGATGGTAAAGTCCAAAGACTAATGTATTTAAGAATAATTCCCACCATAATAGGTGGTGAATTATAATAGTATGTGGTGATGACATCCCGTTTTCTATAGACGGTAATTCCACTACAAGTTACGTTTTCTATGGGTAACTTGTTGGTAATACAGCTATTATCTGTATGATATATTAAATGGTGTCGGATTTTCCGACATAATTCCCCAGGGGGCTGCTCACGGGTCGAAGTCCTATTTAGAACAGACGAACACCGATACTCCTCCTTCGGATTATTAGATTAATTTGATGTTAGTAGTTAGTAATCACACATTTGTGTGTCTGTTCGTACAGGACGGATGTCCCGTACTAGAGTTGTAGGGGTTAGAAGTCTAATGCGATTTCATTTCCCTGTCAACTCTTGAAAGGCTAATATTCAAGCCTTATTACATATTATTTAACCCAGAAGACTGGATGTGATCAAGTACTACAGTCAAGTATGATTCAGGGACTGCAGTGAGATCAGTGACATTAGATATAACTTGAAGTTTGTTCAGGTAACTGGTCACTGATATATAAACACTGAGGCCCATGGAATACATCTTGATTAAATAATAAATGTATCAAATCAGTCATCAAATTTATTGGGGTTTAATTTAGTTAATTGATTCAGAAGATTGAATAGCTCATCATTAAAGTAAAGTATGGTTCTGAGACTGCAGTGGGTTCAGTGACATTGGTCGCAGTGACTTGTAGCTGTTTTAGGCTACTGTTCACTGATTTGCCACTGAGGCCTCATGAACTCATCTCCAGCTTTAAATGATGATACTAACATCAACCTCTGTTACTATAGTCAGCTGTAATCTCCTTAGTATAATGCTACTGGAGAAATATAATCAGCTGACAAATTTAGATCTCTACTGGTATTGTTTATCTGCAGGCATAGGGCTCCTCAGGCTTGATACTGGGCCTGAGAGTAATTTACCTCCTGCAGAGTTTAACATGGTTATACCCTGATATTTAGTAGGGCTACCGATGAATCGATGACAATAGTCTGTCCCAACAAGGAGACCGAAGTCAGTGAGGTGATCAGACTTAATATTATCTGCCAATTTTATTCCTCTATTTCTCAGGAATTTGGCTGTTGCTCTCAGACCTTGAACTTGTAGGTCTACTGGTATTTTGTCCACCACAATGGCTTGTACTCTACAGACGTACCTGCCTAAACGTACTGATGGTTGTACCACCTGGTAGACTTGAGGTCCTGCATTTGTTACAAACCCTGAGATATTGAATGACATCTGGGCTACAGGCCTTAATTGTAGTTCATCTGCCAACTTTTTAGTGATATATGTTCTTTGGGATCCTTGGTCAAACAACCCACGGGTATGGACCTTGGCCCTCTTATTCAGGATGGTAATTTGGGCAGTAGGCAAAGTCGTATTACCTTTAGACTTTGCCGATTGGACACTCTTTGTTTGTTGCACCTTGCAGTACTGTACTGTGGTGGGAATGCTATCTTCCACCTTGGGTCTTGAATACGTTAATTTCGTATATTTGCACAGTGCTGCATGGTGCCTACCTCTTCTACACCTGTTACAGGTGTTGAATTGGGTATCACAATAGTCTATGTTGTGTGACTTGAGACACCTCGAACATCTCCCTAATTCCTGGAGTCGCTCAATACGAGTGTCTCTGGTTGGATAATTAGCACAATGGTATGTTGAATGTTTCTTTTTGCAGAACATACATGTCCCCCAGCCTACTGCACGTTTGGAAGTTACCGGTTTGGGTGAACTAGTAACAGTAGGCTTGGAGGATGCTGCTGCATTGTCAGATTTTCTGCAACTTGATGTTTGAGTAATTGGTTGATGTTTATTTGGGGTGGTTGTTTTACCCTTTAATTGACTATTATTTTCTATTTCTGAAGGCTTGCAAGAGGCTTTAACTTCCTCATTTGCTCGTCGTTTGCTTATGATGGAATGTAAACCTTCAGTGATGTCCTGTACTGTCAGGATGGTGTTATGTTGATGTGCATATAATTCATCTAGTATATCGCTGGACAATTTTCGTTGAAGGACTACTTTGGTCATCCATTCACTAGTAGTTATATCAACCTTAAGTCTGAATGTTCTTAGCAGTGACTCAAACTCCATGCTGAAGGAATGTAATGAGTCAGCAGTTTGATCAGGTTGAGGTAAATCCAGCAATTGTAGTACTAGATGTATGACAGTTTTCTCATTGCCAGCATTATTCCTAGGAGGCTGGACTGGGAAATTAGTGCTGTCGCTATTTTCATTTACATTTTCTACTACTGGTTCAGCTTCACCTCTAGTTTGGAGGCATGTTAACTTAGTAGCTTCAGGTATTGGGTTTTCAGAAACCACAGAGACTGTGGATAAATTGTCTGAAAACTGCTTAATTTCTGGTGGTATATTATTGGGTGAAGCTGTAGTGGGTGAAGCTTTACTGGGTGAAGCTTTATCCTTGTTGATTAAAGGATCTAATCTGGCTTTACATTTATTCTCAAAAAGATCCAGATCATCCATAACATTATCTACTTTATTTGATGTACTTGCTATTTGTTCTGATTCAATTATCCTGTGTAAATGTTCCAACCTGCCTTGAGTTTCTTCTTCATATTGTGCTAGGTCAGACAGGAATGGTTCCACATCTTCAACTACTACATCATCGTGGACTTGATTTTGGTAAGATTTCCTATTTGCTTTCAATATATGCAATTGGGTTTGAATCTGTAACAGTGGTATTTTCAACCGATGATAATTAATTACAGGCTCATATAACAACTGTTCATATTGGTTGAGATCTCTTGTTAGTTGGCGTTTGCTTGATATTAAAGCACGCTTTGCTTTCTGTGGATTAGTCATGGTGACTTGTTAATTGAGCACCACTGGCTCATAAATTGTGAGCAAGTACTAATGGTAGCCTAGGGTAAATTCTGCACTCACTAGGCAATAATCCTACCTCTACTAGAGGTTAGCACTTAAAATTAATACACATTATATATATATATACAATCATACACACTAATGATTTGAGTGATAAACCAGTGTCACTGGAAGTACCTTTAGGTTAGCTCTTCTATATCACCCTAGGATGGAAGAGACACTAATTAATCACTCAAAGGTGTAATGATCATAAGTAATTTATTATATATACAACTCAACTCGAGTTGATAAAAATTACACCCAAAATAGGGTCTGGACCATTCATTAATGGTGTTAGGTTGTTCAATATAGTACAACTGACTATGGTAATAATGGGACTAGGATGAACAATAATAGTTCAACTAGTCATATCCTACCCTGTTGTGGGTTGGCAATTAGTAAATATTATATTGAGAACACTAGTGCAATTTATATTAAATGATTCTCTATTTTGGAGAAATAATATACACAATTATTGATAATAGCCTCTTAATTAGCCTCTATGAAACTTCTAATATTATCTAGAAGTATTAAATGTTATTAGTGACCTCGCGAAATAAACTCCACAAAATTCGTAGATAATCTCTCGCGAAATGTAACACCACGAAATCCGTGAACAATCTCGCGAAGACACAGTCACTAATTTGGCTGGATTCAATATTAGCGCTGTCATTTCACGAAATAACACGCCACCAAATATCTGTGGGTGTGCATGAAACCGCTGATGAGGCTGAACTCAGTTGAGGGAGGCTCCTGAGCTCCCTCGAGGCTTCGCCGCTGTCTTTGACTGGCTGGCCTTGTTTAAATAACACTGCACTAGTATATTTAATGAATCCACTGGTTAACTGGCTCATCCGGTACTAAGATGACCAAATGTGGGTTCAAAGGATCAAATAATCCGTCATCCGGTTCGAAGATGACCAAATAATGTGGGAACCGACCTGTGAGATTTATATTTATTTAATTTATATGAATTTATATTTACGTTAATTTATATACTTCGATAGCAATTTGTATAATGATAAGTGGACTGTATTTCTGCAATAATCTCATAATCTCACAAATCGATCCTCTACACATTAGGGGGGTTTATTAATTAAATATATGCAGCCAATCAAACTACAGTAATAGACTACATACTATTAAACATTGAAGAGGTTCCTTATCTTATAGTACAGCAGGTTAGTCCACCAGGTATAACTAGGGTGTAGACACCAAATTATCCTCTTTGAGGTAGCTTCCATATCACCCAGTAACTGGTGCACAAATCCTTCCTCGTCTTGACCTGTCAAAAGTGCGCTAGCTGTGAAGCCAGAATCCTATATATGACAAGTTATATCAGAGAAAATAGTACATGGAACATGAAGACCTGGCTTAATTACCTTTAGTTTGAGGCGATTTCGCGATCTAACCGGGTCACCCTATATCCTGACATTAATGGCCATAAATGAATGATAAACGGGTTTCGGATAGACTTAACTTGAATTGTAGACATCGTGTTGGAGATGGTACCTTTGGTTTCCATAACACTACGTCCAAGTAAAATTAACAGGAGCCGTATTTGCTCCCGTGTGAGCCTCTGGTCTCAATATAAACAATGGCTGTTTAACACTCCATTCTATTGACGTTACTGGCTGACATTGTCCAGAATGATAGGAGCCGTACTCGCTCCACACGTCTCGGAGGTGACACAACAATGGCTGCCCTCCTTCCTCTCTGACGCCTGGCCTACTTTGTCCAGATTTCAGAAAGTGATAGAAGGGTCACATTTACTCTACTTTAATATTGATAATTAAGTTAATTTATATAAGATGTTTTTATGATGGTAAAGTCCAAAGACTAATGTATTTAAGAATAATTCCCACCATAATAGGTGGTGAATTATAATAGTATGTGGTGATGACATCCCGTTTTCTATAGACGGTAATTCCACTACAAGTTACGTTTTCTATGGGTAACTTGTTGGTAATACAGCTATTATCTGTATGATATATTAAATGGTGTCGGATTTTCCGACACAGAGCATGCACTACATCTTTGAAACATGGAGGTAGTATTATGCCTTGGGCATGTATGGCTGCTGCTGGAACTGGGACTGCTAATAGCTGAAGCAGGATGACTTATGAAGTGCACAAACACTTTTTATCTGGAGAAAGGAGACTGAATATAAATATTTTAGGCTTGTATCGAGGTCCCCAAACCTCAAACTTCTGACCCTTCCTAGGATGCAACCCCACAATGATTGCCTAACTTCTGGTTACTTATTTATTGCTTGGTGAGCAGAGGCATTAGGTGAAAGGAAATCTGTCCATCCAGGGAATTGAACCCTGGATCAACAATTGTTAGTCGATACCCTGTGTTACGGCCCTACTGGGGCGTAACCGGGTTCTTTTCTGGTGTTGTTAGAATTTGGGAATCCGGCCCCAAGTTAGTAGAGGCTTTCAAGGGATGTGTTCCGGAACGCAAGTTAAAATAAAGGGGGAGGGATACAAATGTTCTGATGTATATATATATTCTCACCACCACCATATAAATAAAATAACAATCACACGGGGTTTATAACTACACGAAAATATACAGAGTTGTCTTCCTCTGAAGACACAGGATGCTCCACGGTGCGCACTTTGAGTAGCCCTGGTTCCTTCCTCCGTGGCCCACGATGAATCCTCTTGGCTTCTCTCGGCGAATCTACCCTGGCCACAGGCCAGCCAAATCACAGTCCCACTGGGTGCTCCGTTGTGGAGGCCTTCAACCACAATCCAGCCTGTAGCTGGCAGGTTCCAATCAGCTCCGCTATGTAGGCCACTCCACAACCGATACTAGGGTTGCGAGCCCTAGGCAGGAGCCTCGTGTGATTCCACTGATCACTCTCCTCTCTCAGTACCACAGTGGCTAGTCTCTTCCACCAGCCAGCCCCGGATAAGGCGATTCCTGATACTGCCACGTCACAGGCAGGCTAACACTCTCAACAGTGTTCGTCCGGGGGTGACTCTCAGCTTCTTCAGAGCAAACTCGTGGAGAGACTTTGGCTGCCTTGGGTAGACTGCTCCATCGTCCAATACAGCAGTCCCAGGTCGACTCTGTAATCAGACACGTCATTAGTACTGGGACTAGGGAACCTCACTTACAGGCTTAGACACAAACATCCACCTATCCACTCCATAGATGGCGTTGCTGTCTAAGCGCCACCTCACCAGAGGTCAGCAGCGGCCATGTTACGAGCTGAGTAAGACGGGAATGGCCCTGTGGCCGGTATATCCCATTCTCACTAGATGGCGTTGTCCATTTGGAGGGGGTTTCGGGAACGGACTCACAGATGGCGTTGTCGTCACTGCCCCGTGCTACGACACTGGACTCGGGTCCGTAACACCCTGCAAATACATAATGTAACGGTCACTATTGTTACTTTGTTACAAAATTGTTACATCTTGTTGTAAAGTTGGTACAACTGGTTAGATAATTGTTATAACCTGCTAGAAGGTGTTACACTTGATCGAATGTTGTAGCAATATTGTAGTTGTGTTTGGTGGTTAGTGAATCCAACTGTACTAAGAGACCCTTGCAGAGGGACATGGACTTCCCTTCTCCCACATTTCTGCTGAAGAAACCAAGATATTTTGTGGGCTGAAAAAGGAAATATTCTTGACTAGCCAAGTCAGTTACCCAACCCAAGTTCATTTGAGTATGTGTTTCACTTGCTGAAGGCAAGACTGATGGCAAAAAGCCCAGAAAATAAATGAACTGATGATGGCAACAGTGTTTGGTGATATCTATTGATTGCAGGATTTGGGCAGTCATCGCATGTAAAGGATTTGCAACCACGTTCTAAATATGTTAACTGTATTTATGAGTGCAGGTATGTTAATATGTCCAATTACTTTTGGTCAGCAAAAAGAAAAGGGGGAAGAACCATGAATAAACAGGGTAGGTAATTCCTACACTGTTCATCCAAGATGGATGTAAATAACCTCAAGTTAAAGCTAAACATCTAAATGCACTTTATCATAGTCATTGTTTTATTTCAAATTCAAGATGCTGGATACAGAACCAAATCAACAAACATTTATCACTATCCAAATACTATAGACTGCATATTGTGCATATGCCATTTTCTATTTCAAAATACCTTTCATGAAAGAGGAGGGTGGAGAAAGAAGAAGAGAGAAAAAGGAGATGGTATAAGTGTTCTCCTGGACCTGACATGTAATGAGTCGCAAAAATAATGTACAGTGTATTTTTATTTATCATTTTTTGTTTCAGCTGTCCTAATTTATTTCTCTTTATTCTTTTATTGTACCATTTCTGTAATATTTTTTCATGCCTAACATTTTATAATCTTTTAAAACTAAATTTATAATGTTATTCTAGGAACCATCCACACATTAGATCTATTAGTGGAGTATGCATCACTTGGCACCTATTGTGAGTATGACTTGTTTGGGATAGAAACTTCTCATTACCAGCTTAACACAAGTGTTGACATGCCTTCTGATGCACAAAGGATTTCACGGATCAAGCACTTGGTTGACAATGGCTTTGAAGACAAAATTCTTATATCTCATGACATTCACACCATGCACCGTTTGGTTAGTAAATAAAGTATTCATTTTTTGTTTGCTTGAATAACGTGTTGAGAATGGTTCTATTCATGATAGTAATACTCTAGTTTCCATTATGAAAATATCAGACAATTGTTTAACTTAAGTTCAAAATAATCTAGGTGTAATGGTGGAAAAGCATTTTAGTTGAAATCCAAAAAATATACTAGTATATATTTACTCTTGATTTCCCTATAATTGCTGTAATACTTCATCATTTTTACCTTTAATTCCTCTTAGATTTTTTTAATTAACATATATTTGTTCAGAGAGATTGATACTAATAACCTGTGATGTTAAAGCAACTAAAACTCATTACTCTTTAGGTGTTCAATCCATTTGGCTTTATCTATTTTTTTCTAGTGTTTTGACTACCACGCATGTTAATAACACGGGTCTATAATTTAGAGGTTCCTTTTGACTACCATTTTTATAAATTGGTACTATGTTTGCCCTTTTCCATATATCTGCTAAGATTCTTGTACATAAGGATGTCCAGAATATTAATTGGAGTGGAATGCTCAGCTCAGTTGCACATTCTCACAGCACCCGAGGTGAAACTCCATCAGGTCCAACCGCTTTATTTCTTTCTGGCCCCATGAGTAATTTTTCCACTTCATCAGGAGCTACCTCTATGTATTCTATGGCGTGTTCTGGAATTGGTATTTGGCCCGACTCTCTGAAATTCTCATTTTTTACAAACACACTTTGGAACTGTTCATTTAGCATTTCACACATTTCATGTTCATTTTCAGTAGTCCTGTTCCCCGTTCTCAATTTCTGGATTTTATCTTTTACTTGCAGCTTGCTTTTAATGAATTTATAGAAAAGGCCTGGATCTGTTTTACATTTGTCTGCTATACCTTTCTCAGAGTTCCTTTCTGCCTCTCTTCTCACTGCTGTGTAATTGTTTCTTGCTTGTTTGTAATGCTGATATGTTTGTGGGTTGGGCCTCTTCTGATATTAACCCATTTTCTTGTCTTTTCCTCTCTGGCTCTCTCACAATTTCTGTTAAACCAATCCTGTTTTCTGGTCCTGCATCGCTATTTTGGTATGAATGTTTGTGTGCCTTCATCGTATATTTTGCAAAATTTGGCACATATCTCACATACTTCCTTGCCTAGCAACAAGTCTGTCTAATTAAACTCATTAAAGAATTTTCTAAGTTCCCCATAGTGTCATCTCTTGAAATTGAGTTTATTAACGGTTTCAATGTCCCCCATTCTCTTTTTAGATTACAATGCAAAGCATATTTAATTTCCAACAGGACATGATCACTCTCTCCCAAGGGAGGAAGGTACTGGATGTCAAATATCTCTTCTTCTTTCTTGGTGAATATTAGATCCAGTATTGATGGGACATCCCCTTCCCTCATTCTTGTGGCCTGCTTGACATGTTGATACATGAATGTCTCCAGAATGAAGTTTACAAATCTGCCTTTCCAAATGTCCTCTGTTTTTGCTTCATAGGCCTCCCCTCCCAGTCCATTGCTTTCAAGTTGAAAGGATCAGGTAGTGTGGACAGAAACACGTAAGGTGAGCGATATCAAAAGTATCAGATTCACCATGGATTCTGTCGAGAGACAAGTGTGCTTTATGGACATTAGGAAAGCAAGAAAGAATCGTCCTGAAAATTGGGACGTACAAGTTTTCTACTTTGGCAGTTATCTATGCCGATATGTTTACTGCTAGTATCCAGGCTCTAGAATTTTTATGGTCAACTAGGATGTTGGCTTTTCACTACTTGTTGAATGTTTCCCAGCTTTGCGGCATCTTCTCTATTTTCTATGTGACTACTTATCCTGTATTTTCCTTAAAGAAGAGCTATCCTCCTCTGATGAAGCACTGTTAGAAGCAAACTCATGGAATTACTAATGGACCCTCCTAGAAATCTAGCATTGAATGAAATGAAATGCATCTTTTTTGTTGGGCTCACAGTAACTCCCTATCCCCTTTTACCCTGCAGGGTATTTTAGGGTTTGTTACTGACAGCTCATTGGTGAACTGGGTAGTTGTCCAAGGTTACCTAGTCACCCAGGCTGCCATCTGTATAGGTACATGAGGGTTAGGTTTTTTTTGCTAGCGGCAATAATCATTTACCTTAGTTTACTGCATGGTTAATCAGTTCCTTCAAGTTGTTGCTTATTTTGCCTCGCATATATTTTGTGGTGTTTTTTTTATTCTTCTTGGTTTTGGGTAGATATCCGATCCCAGGCTCTGCTCTGCCTCCTAGTACATCAGTGGATGGCCCCCAAAAGGCTTGGTGCAGTTTTTCAAGGCTTGGCTATACCAGCACTTAAGCGCTGAGAGCTACTAATTGTCCACCTGAAAAGACGTTTCATTACATTCAACACTTCATTTCAGTAAGATCCCCTCAGTAAGTTCCCGAGATAGTGGGACAAGCAACCAGGGGCCAATTAAGATGGTGCTTAGAGACCAATTACTGGGATGGTGGTAAGGGACCAATTATTGGGATGGTGGTAAGGGACCAGTTATTGAGGTAACAGGATGTAACATTTAATTTGTTTTGTAGAATATTTGCTCCATGTGCAACAATTTTAGACAGTACAGTATGATGTGCAGTACAATGCTGTAATGTACTGCATTTGCTATTCAGTGTAGAATCCTGATTATTATTGGTAGTAAGTCTCCCTGATTTATTAATTCTTTGATATTAGTTTTACAAACAAATATGAATAGATATTGTTTTCTTAAAATATGTATTTTTTTTTTTTTTTTTTTTTTTTTTTACACAGGAAGCTTATGGTGGACATGGTTACACTCACATTCTGAAAAACATTGTTCCAAAAATGCTGGACCGTGGACTAAGCCAGGATATTGTTAACAAGATCCTTATCGCCAACCCTAGTACCTGGTTGACTTTCTCGAAGTGAACCTTATGTGAAATTGCAAACTGTTAAAAATTGGGAATGAAATAAGAATTTTTTATACAGTATAGATTTAAAATGCAGTTTCAGAATTTTTTGTTTAGCTGCATCGCCACTTGTTATATGCCTAAATGTTGGGTGTAAGTGGTACACAGTCATAGGGTCTTGTTTTCTTTTAGGTAAGCTTTATTTTTTGTTTACATTCCTTCTGCAGCATCAATAATTTCTTACCAGCTGGCCTCCTTATCACTTTCCGACTATTGAAATTAAGTTATTGTATCTGGATGGATGGGTGCGTCTGTCAAATTCCTAGGACCACAATTTGAGATTAGTATAGTATTTGCCAAAGGCCTTATGTGATTGCTTGTAGCAGCTGTCATAGAAATCTCAATAAGCAGATACCATGGCTTGCTTCTAGTGGCACATGATTCAATCTAATAAATGTTTGCATTAATGTGGACAGGTTGTGCCATTGTCTTGGTCAATTAATTATTAAAAGAACTTTGCTTCAAAATCACATTTGTTCACATGGTGTGGCATCCTGTGCTATAGAAAAAATACAAATATAAAAACAGAAACCACATAAAATTCAGTCAAATCACACCATTAAAAGAAATAACAATATAAAAAATTTGGGAATAATGATGTCGGAAGACCTAAAAGACACTAGTTCTCTCTAGTATGGAATATTAGTACACACTAACAGCCCTTTCAAAGTTAAGGAAATTGCTAATCTGGAGAATGTGCAAAAGTCTTAATACCTGAATCCACTCAATAAAACTTAAAAATTATTGGGACTGCTTAAAATGTTTAAATCTTGATTCTCTAGAGTACAGGCAAGGGTGTGTTACATAATAATTTACTTTGAAAATATAGAGGGACTGGTTCCAACTACATATGGAAATAACTTCACATGAGACCAGGAAGCATGGTAGGCAGTGCAAAATAGCACCATTGAAAAGTAAAGGTGAAACAGGTACACTGAGAGACATTTCTGTCAACATTAAGGGCCCAAAACTTTTTCAACTCTCCCTCTAAATATAACTTGCATATTATCAAGTCGATTGTTATGGGAGCCATTGTAATGATTTGTATAAAATGTTACCAACATAGTTTCTGAATCTGGCAACTGTAATGATTTTTTTAAAGTCCTGATATATAGCTTCTAAATCTAAATACAGTATTGAGTATACAGTATATAATTACAGTTATTACATATTGTCTTTCTCTTAAATAAATAATTTACTATAAATGTCTAAACTAACCCAACTTTAAATGTACACACATTTATGAATAAAGTATTTGAATTGAATTTTATCCATTTATATACATCAATCATGTCACTCTTTATCATCTTTCTATAAAATATAAATTTAGATTTTCTAATTTCTTTCATAAGGAAGAGTTCTAATTCCTGGGATTAACTTGTCATCCTTCTCTTTCCGTATGTATTCAAGTAAATTTATATTAATTTTATAGTAGGTAAAGTCCAAAAGTGAATTGCATAATATGAACGGGGCTAACAAGGGCAAGATAAAGCAGAACAATGTTGATGGCTTGTAATTAAAACTAATAGAAATAAATATTAGTATCCTATTAGCTTTATTCTAAACATTTATGAAGTGATTTTTTGGGGGGGAGGGTGGGCTTATGATCCTTGCTAATCATTACTACTAGACCTTTCTTGCATCAGGAATTCATAATTTCAGCATTGTCCAGCTAATATTTAGTAAATCTTTTATTATTTTATCCAGGCTTAGAACGTGAATTTTTTTCAGCATTAAACTGCTTTTGCCAATCTTTTATTGGCATTTTGAAAGTGTAAACTATTTTACAGCAATTGTCTTCTTTTGAATTGATTTCCCACTTATTTTTGTATCTGCACCTTTGCAAATGTTGTTTAATCCTCTGTCTAAATCATTAATATATATGGTGAACAATAGAGGTACCATGATAGAGCCTGGGCACTTCATTTACAATGGTATTCCCACTCAGACTTTACACTATTTACCGTATACTTTTTTCAAAGCACAAATTAGTGTGGTTGATTCACAGTGCTGTCATGGCCCTGGAGTCACTTAATCCTTAACATGCCGCAGTTATCGAACCGTGATATTGGCCTTTCCTCGTCTTTAGGAGATAGACATAATTTGCTGAGTTCCCAGTCATATTGATGTTTTGGACACTACTGCAAAATAAGCTGCTTGTAGTCTATCTCATCCAGAAATTAATTCCTTATTCATATTTCTACCCTGTAATTCATAACATGATCTGTGACCATTGTGAGAATAGATGTTTAGCTATCATAAATTAACATATTATTTTGTTAAAGCTCTGCCAGTTCTAGCTCAGAATCAACAATATGAGGAATCAAGTATGTCAAATAATAGAATGCAGGGAACATTATAAAGAAGAGCAGACATCGGTGGAAAAAGAGACTACAACCAGATGGTAAAATGGTGCTATATTGGTCAACCTTGAGGTTACCTTGAGGTGCTTCCGGGGCTTAGCGTCCCCGCGGCCCGGTCGTCGACCAGGCCTCCTGGTTGCCGGACTGATCAACCAGGCTGTTGGACGCGGCTGCTCGCAGCCTGACGTACGAGTCACAGCATGGTTGATCAGGTATCCTTTGGAGGTGCTTATCCAGTTCTCTCTTGAACACTGTGAGGGGTCAAGCTGGAAAAGAAAGTTAATTCAAGCTAATTTGTCAAGCTGGAAAAGAAAGTGCCTAAAGAACTTTACAGCACTGTTTTCATAAATGCATTTGATTGTATTGTGTCCTCTCTTTTTGAGTGCAGTTCATTAAACACAAATATTGATGACTGACCTAGTTGCTGTTGTGGTGACTTTTTCCCTTTTATAGCAGAGGCTCCAAAAGTACAATTAACAATAATCCCTATCTTTTATGACAACCAACCATGATTTTAAATTGCTATAAAAGCATATTATGACATTTATGTACTACAAAACATAGTGTTCATTATCCTCTTTTTAATCCTTTGTTAGCCCCTTATTTATAAAGACATTCAAACTGAGAGGTAAACATTCACACCTGCACATGTAGGGTGTGATACACAATGTTTGGGTACTGAAAGCATCAAGATCTCTCCTCTTTTTAAAGTAATACTGTACAGCATTGTCAAATACCACCTTGGGTACTAATACGGTAAGTGAACATTTTTCAAATTAAACTTTTTCTTGTGTTGTCTAAAGTGGATTGTAGCCGTTTGGTAAATAAGCCGGCTTCAGCTTCAACCCTTCATCAGCCTTGTTTTATATCATACATCACTTTTATGGCATTTTATCAGTGTGTGTGTGTGTGTGTGCAGTTTTGTGGTTATTTGCCAAGAAAATGGTACATTTTCAAGAGTATTAATCAGTAGGGAGGCATCCACCTCATAACTACAATGAGAGAGACTGCCAAAACCAAGAGAGATAAGGCCATAGTATTAGGCATCAGTTAAGATATCAAAATGGCTGTCGTCATGGCCTCTGAAACAGAGGATAGACACCAAATCAAGAGGAGGAGGTTGGAAGAAATGTTAAATACCTCATGTACTACTGCCATAAAAGAAAGATTCAGGTGTAAATCCAAGAAACCAGCCACTTATATACCATACTGGTGACAATATACTCAGGGCCTAGAAAGTCCACATAAGAAGATGAGTGGAGAGCCTCAAACTATCTTTGTGTGTTGTGATCCTCTGAGATAGGTAAATCCTTAGGAATACCAAAATATATTTCCATTGAAGATTTTTTTAATCTGTTAGTAGATATAGTATGACACTAATTAAGCTCTGCTTCTGTGGAATTATATTACTCAGTTTGAATCAACATTAATTATATTAACATAGTTTCCCAGTTCTGCCCAGGGTACTTTTATTTTTGACTTGTTATGCATTGGAGGTTGACAAAAATCAAAACTATATGCATGCACAGAAATCTTTCAAATGATTCTATAACCCAAGTCTCTCTGCTTAGTGTTTTTTACTTATGAATTACACATATCATTGATAAAATATATATCAAAAGATAAAAAGTACATGTAAAAAAAAGAAAATTTCATGTCTGTCAAAACTTGTAGCAAATGTTGGCCTACATCTGCATCAAGTATTAAGAGACAGTAACCCTGGCTTGATACCTTCTTTTGATAGTTACTTGATATACAGTAACAGTCAATAAATATATATTATGATACATTGTATTAAGTGATTCTTGAGATAAAGTCAGGACAGCATTGATTATGAAAAGAATGTAGGAACGTAATGTGACGTTGGGATATCTATGGGGGGGAGGGGGTACACTACTGCAAACAGGATGGATATAGGCTCCACAACAAGTCATACGATGTTATGAGATCCACTTCCATCCAAAAGGATAAGTATGGGGTCCACTTCCACCTGTTGAATGGGTATTTGGTCCACTACCACCTGTTTGACGGGGATCATTACTGCCCACTGGATGGGTATGGGGCTCACTACCACCTGTTGGATGGGTATGGGGTCTACTACCGCCAAGAGGATGGATATATGGTCCACTACCGCAAAGAGGATGGATATATGGTCCACTACCATCCACAGGATGGGTAACGGGTCCACTACCACCTGTAGGATAGGTATGTGGCCTACAACCGCCCATAGGATGGGTATGGGGTTCACTACCATCCACAGGATTGGTATGGGGTCTACTGCCGCACAGATGTGGGCGGTAGTGGACCCTATACACATCGAGTGACCAGTTGTGGACCCAATATCCATCCTGAGAATACACTGGCAGTGTTGAAGGCAGTAATGTTCAATATACAGATTCCCAAGTAGGAAGAATGAGAGGCAAGACCGACGAGAGGCATCAAAATAGTTTACTCTTTACTGAAAATAGTTAAAAAAGTTATAATAAGTCCATCCTGTGTCAACTAATGTTTTAACCCATGATTTAAACCACTATTCTACAGTGCATCGTGTTAGAGGTTAGCACTTAGGAGAAATCTTGGTGCTTCTCAGTAAATTATAAGAAGCACTCTATAAAGTATTACATATAATAATGGTTCGTTCGCGAAACATTATATACAATAGTGTAAGCTGTGAAAACTAAAAGAGAATGGATTGTAGGAACGTCAACAGAAAACGATGTGACTGGAATGTCTATGGGGTACACTACTGCAAAAAGAATGGATATAAGGAGGTCCACAACAATGCACACGATGTTTATGAGGTCCACTACTACCCAAAAGGATAGGTATGGGTTCCACTTCCACCTGTTTGATGGGTATTGTGTCCACTGCCACCTGTTGGATGGGTATGGGGTCCACTACCACCTGTAGGATAGGTATGAGGCCTACAACCGCCCATAGGATGAGTATGGGTCCACTAGCTACCATCCTATACAATACAATACAATTTTATTTAGGTAAGGTACATACATACAATAAATATTTACAAGGATTGTTTAACTTATAGGTATAGCTAGTACATACAATGCCTAAAGCCACTATTACGCAAAGCGTTTCGGGCATAAATATGGGTGGTAATGGACCCCATACCCATCCTACGGGTGGTAGTGGACCCCATAACCATCCTACGGATGGTAATGGACCCCATACCCATCCTATGGGTGGTAGTGGACCCCATACACATCCTACGGGTGGTAGTGGACCCCATACACATCGAGTGATTAGTTGTGGACCCTATATCCATCCTAAGGATACACTGGCAGTGTTGAAGGCAGTAATGTTCAGTGTACAGATTCCCAAGTTAGTTTAGTTCATTTATTATGCACCCCATGCCCATCTTGTGGGCGGTAGTGGAAAGGGTTACAGAGGCACATAATGGGCTCAGGGACTTAACCCCACAATTCATTTAGCTAAGCAAGTTACAATCTTGATGAGTTAGTTACAAAATTCACCGACGAGAGGCATCAACATCAGAGGCTATAGTGTCACGTGACAGACTTGACGTGGTGAGAGGCAATGTTGTGTTATGTTATCCAGTCGTTGTAGATGTTCTTTATATATCCCGAGATGGTCATATATTTATTTTGTTTTATTTATATATATATACAAGAAGGTACATTGGGAGTGTGAGGATACATGATATGGTAATTACAATCTTGTAAAGCCACTAGTACGCGCAGCGTTTCGGGCAGGTTCTTAATCTAAGACTATCTAATATAGTTGCCTGTCATGGGACGTTAATAGTTATTATAAAGCATAAATGTTCCCACTTCAATAAGTTAAAATCACTTAATTTATCATTAACGAGCAATATCTTAAGTCAACTGAAAGCAAATATTTAACATCATCCAGTGGTGTGTCAGGAATTTTGGTTGTTGTGTTTGTTAGTCTGTTATTGCATATATTGTATATTGTAGTTGTGGAGCGGCCATTAACAGTTCTGGACTGACGGACCATTACTACTTCACTGCCGATTTTATTGCAAATGTTGCTCTGTTGTACCTGTTGTTCTGTTGCAACATTTACAATAGAATGTTGTATTTGGTTTGTGAAATATGTGAAGACTTATACTGAATTTTGTAACTAACTCATCAAGATTGTAACTTGCTTAGTTAAATGAATTGTGGCGTTGAGTCCCTGAGCCCATTATGTGCCTCTGTAACTCTTTCCACTACCTCCACTACCGGTGCATAATAAATGAACTAAACTAAACTGAAATAGAATTTGAAGTCAACAACTTCAAACATTTAAGCTGGGGATGATTATTGGTTCATTAGAGACTCGTTCGTATTTGGGGAAGTGAAGGAGTGGCTGTTGGCCAGTGATAATTGGCACTTCAGACGCGCAAAATGTTAACCAATGGGGTGAGTTTTAGGGTGAATGTCAACCAATCAGCGGCCGAGTTTGGTTGGCTGCTGGTTATAAAAGAGACGACGAGACAAAACTCACTTCAGTGTGGTTTTACCTCACTTTTGGTATACAGTTCCAGCTTCGTCTCTTGAAGGTGAGCTGTATGTGACGGGGCCTCCCCCTCCCCTCCCCTTGTTGCGTCTCCTCCCCCCTCCCCCTGCTCCCTTGTTGCTTCCCCCCTCCCTGGTCCCTTGTTGCGTTCCTCCTCCCCCTGCCCCCTTGTTGCTTCTCCCCCCCCCCCCTCTCTGGTCCCTTGTTGCGTCCCCCCTCCCCCTGCCCCCTTGTTGCTTTCTCCCCCCCCCCCTCCCTGGTCCCTTGTTGCGTCCCCCCTGGTGCCTTGTTGCGTCCCCTACTCCCTTGTAAAAATATATAAATTCCAAGCTATATCAAGTTGTTAACGACTACTTTAATTCAGCAACCTAGAGATGTAATTCTAGCAATGGGTAAAGAGAATCTTTTTAAGCCATGAAGTAGGTTCTGTTAATCTTGTCTATCTATGGTATTTAGTTTTTTTATAACCATAGACGCTAATTATGTAAGTTCCTGTCGTATATATATTTTAAAATTGCCTTATAGCATTTCATTTGATTGCATAATTCATAACTTCAGTGTAGTATGTAAATAGTTGTAATGTAAAGAAGTTACGGGAATACTTGGTCCTGACCATTGGACCTAAACGATAGTTAACTACAGGTTCGTAGTGTTGCAGTTGTCAGCGCCTCGGAGGTGTACACAAGGCAGTCACAAGCCGGACAAACGGCCCGTAAATAAAATCCAGATGTTTCTCTTGGACACTTCCCAGCAGTGGATTGCTTTAGCAGTTAAAGAAGTTGTAGTTTACTAATATACAATGCAGCCATACACGTTTACTGTATTCGTTACTTAGGCCAATCTTGACACTTGTTAAATGCAGACAGTCGATTACTTTTTTACTTTAACAGCTTAACTAAATTACTTGGCACTCGACGTTGCTATAAAGGTGTAGCTTTAATAGGTTTTCTATAGTGTTTTTTCTTGGCTACCCCCCCCCCCCCACTCGAAAAAAAAACTCTGCCCGATTCGAAAGTTGTCTACAAATATTTCTCTAACCTTAGCTTAGAGGATTAACCAATGGTTTGAGTATCCTGGATAGTAGTAACTTAACAAAACTAATTTAACTTTGTGTAATTGTTACAAAGATAGAATTTGTCAATACAATTTTTACCTTGGCTTGCCTTATTAACCATATTCTTGCAGGAGGGTTAAGTGTAAATGCACTCGTCTTAAATTGGTATTACTTTTCAGAATCCAGAATGCTTCTGCTTAATACTGGTGTGGGAGTGTAGTCTCAGGACAATAATGCCCCAGACGGGTCCCTGGTGGTGGTCGTGGTCGTCGTCTCCTGAGTAAAACCAGTTGTCTGCACCAGTATTCGTCTCACCTCTCCCTTCCCAGAAGTCTTTCAGGGAAAGTCTCTCCAGTTCTCTCAAGACACTAAACGGTTTCAAACTAGTTCTATATTACGTCCAACAGTTCTCTTCAAGCGGCACTCTTGTCCTTCCAACACCTTCCACCACTTGAAGTGCCCCAGCTTCCATTCTCCCCTCACCCCCAGCTTGTCTCCCGGCCTTAAAGGCGACAGGGAACTCAACACTCCATCCTGTGAAATACCTGGTAAGTAATATTCTGGTTTTGATTTGGTTAGTCTCTAAATCTCATAGATCAGGAGTAATGTGAATAGAGTACCAAAGATGCAGGTTTGAAGCCTCAACATGGCTCTTGTTGTGCCGCTTTGAGTAAATTTCGATTAAATTTTAAAGGGTTTCAGATGCATGAAACAACGGCTAGTAAGAACTGTGCGTAAATACTAACTCTGTACTGTATTTACCATCTTCTGATTTAGGGCTTCTATCCCTCTTTCAGCTAAGCCCTGATGCTAAGAAAATAGTTCTCAAAAACTCATTTTCGTAATTTAAAGGTGAAGAAAAGTGAATTACTATAGAATGTATTACTTGAAACAATTTGCAACACGTTTCGAACCTCCATGGTTTATTCTAAAGTGAAAATAATTTACAGAACGGGTTGATTTATACCCGCACTGGGTCAGGTGATAAGACAACAAAAGGTAAAAACATGGGGGAATACATAAGGGATAAATCGGGGATGAAGCACTTAAGGTAAGGTAATTGCGGAAGGCCTATTGGCCCATACGAGGCAGCTCCTATCTACATACAAAGATTAATCGGGTGTAATTGTCCTGTTATGTTGAACAGTGTCTGTGTTGGCATCGTTATGTTCTGGTCTTGTCCTTACTCTCATGGTGGGTAAAGACCAGAACATAACGATGCCAACAGACTGTTCAACATAACAGGCCAATTACACCTGATTAATCTTTATGTAGATAGGAGCTGCCTCGTATGGGCCAATAGGCCTTTCCACAATAACCTTACCTTAAGTGCTTCATCCCCGATTTATCCCTTGTGTATTCCCCCATGTTTTTACCTTTTTTGTCTTACCACCTGACCCAGTGCGGGTATAAATCAACCGGTTCTGTAAATATTCACTTTAGAATGAACCATGGAGGTTCGAAACGTGTTGCAAATTGTTTAAAGTAATACATTCTATAGTAATTCACTTTTTTCTTCACCTTTAAATTACGAGTTTTGGAGAACTCCTCTTTCAGCTAAGCCCTGATGCTAAGAAGAGGGATAGAAGCCCTAAATCAGAAGATAGTAAATGCAGAATATGCGGTCATATTCAGCGAGACATCTTTAAAAAGAGAACCTGCTGCCAGTATACACCAAATACTAATACCTACAGCTGGGATCAAACCAATTCTTACTGCTAGTCTTGGCAGAGAGTTGCAGCTATTTAATAACACTTCAAGATAAGGAACACTTCAGTCAGTGAGTTTACTTGTTAGTGTTTAACATGGTTATAAATAATTGAAATGTGCACTAAACATTTAATATGGTCATCCTCCTGGACTAATTTACTTAACGACCAAGACTTTTTCTAACACGACGTAATTTTTCAGTGATCCAGTTCATGTGGAGAAGCGACTATGAGGGCGGGGCGAGGGCCTGGTGGTGGTCATCCGGGTACACTGTCTGCACCAACTGGTCTCACTGGAGGGTCTGTATGGCTTGTCTGACTTTATTAATGGGTTATTACAGCTCAGTGTTATAACATACCGGGTGGTTGGTAGATTTCGTAAGTGCGTTACTCATAAGGGGTTCAACGGGTGTAAAGAGGTCCGTGAAATATAATAACTTAATGTCTTGAATCTTTTAAGGCATATAATAATTCTGATGTTACTCCCGTCCCCAGGCTCGGGTGACAACAGGGGAGGCCAAGAGGACCGTCTCGGGCTACTGAAGAACATGTATAACGAAGGCATAAAGTGGCAGGACATTGCCAGCATGTCGGTCTGTGGGACCAGCCTTTGTTATATATTTTTGCCAGAAAATGGCCTAGTTTGCTGAAAGGTTATATTGTAAAATATTAAAATTAATTATAGCACAATTTTCTTGAATACTTTACCTAGGTCTTTTGACGCTTTGTCTATACACCTGCCCGAAACGCTGCGCGTACTAGTGGCTTTGCAAGAATGTAAATACTGTACTATCCAATGTATTCTCACAAACCCAATGTACCTTCTTGTATATAAATAAATAAAAAAAAAAAAAATACAACTTGCCACCAAATACCTTAAGTGAAGTTAGGGTAATTTTTAGTTTTAGGAAAAAATTAATACTTAACCAGAGTTAAATTATTAATGGCTTGACTTGTCCCAAGACATTAGAACTAGTATACATATGGTGGTTCACATATACAAAGTACCTCCCCTTCCCCCCCATTTTCCACAACAGACCAGAGTGTAGATAGGTTACTTGCAAAACCTGGTTGTGGCACTATTTTGGGCCTCATTCTCAGTGACCTCGCTAGGTATCTACGATGAAGGACTTTTGCCCTGTTGGGTTATACAGAGATAGTATCTGGAAGAAACTTAGTTTTGCACGAGATAACAATTGTAAAAGTAACGAAAGTATAAACCTCTGAAGTTTCTATGAAATTTAAATGTGGAACAAGTGATGCACGCATGATGAGTGAGGTTGTTCCATCAGTTTTAATTATGTGAACTGATACTTGCATTGATGGATATACTTTTTATTTGGTGAATTTCTACTTTAAAAATAGCAAAGATGCGAGAGTCGGCCACGTCAACATGAGTAACGTCAACCTCGTGAACTGCAGAAGACTGTAACCTTCCTCGTGTATGTGGCCGCCCACTGACGAGCAGAGAGCCTTGTTGGGACGCCCTGGTGGAGTAAGAGTACGGACATTTGGGCTGCCCCATGTTGGGACGCCCTTGTGGAGTAAGAGTACGGACACTTGGGCTGCCCCATGTTGGGACGCCCTGGTGGAGTAAGAGTACGGACACTTGGGCTGCCGCATGTTGGGACGCCCTGGTGGAGTAAGAGTACGGACACTTGGGCTGCCGCATGTTGGGACGCCCTGGTGGAGTAAGAGTACGGACACTTGGGCTGCCGCATGTTGGGACGCCCTGGTGGAGTAAGAGTACGGACATTTGGGCTGCCCCATGTTGGGACGCCCTGGTGGAGTAAGAGTACGGACATTTGGGCTGCCCCATGTTGGGACGCCCTGGTGGAGTAAGAGTACGGACACTTGGGCTGCCGCATGTTGGGACGCCCTGGTGGAGTAAGAGTACGGACACTTGGGCTGCCGCCTGAACGGGAAGAGACTGGTGGACACTCCCGCTGGTCTCCTGCGTTGGTCCATTATGGCTCGCTCCATTAATCCAAGCAACCTTTGTCTTCTTTTAAAGAGCTCTTGTTCTACTAGTCTATCTTGGGCTAAAAGTTTTGCATGACGTGGCTTCGTATAGGAGCTAGAAACTACATTAACAGTACCGTTGATCTTTTGGAAGAAAGCTGTCGGACGCCTCTGCCACTCAATTTTGAGTTTGCTTGTCCATTTTAGTATTCAATCTTGGATAAATACGAGGCAGTAGGACAATGAATATGAACTCTAGTTATTCAAACTATTAATGTCGTAGGTGTATCCATCTGGACTATTGTATCAAAGAATGTAAAAAGATTCTTAAATACTTCAAAGCATCTAAATCTACAAATTAGTTCATAAGTTTGATAGTCACATAACAGGTTTGATCTTGTCTTATGCACCCCATACCCATCCCGTGGGCGGTGGTGGGAAGGGTTAGTCACATAATGGGTTCAGGAAGTGAGCCCCAGAGTTCATTAAGTGACAATCGTGTGAAGCTTGCTGGACAATGGTTAATGTTACGTGTATACAATCATTTACACACATACACATCGATAATCTTCTGATATAGTGATTCAAGAGGCGTTAAAGTCACTATACATGGCACTATAGTGATACACTCTTGCTTTACAGCCGCCCTATTGGGTGGCTGCTGCCGCCTTTGTGGAGAACTTCAGCCATGTTCACCACACGACGGCGGCAGCTTTAGTAATGTGCGCCGCCCAACTGGGCGGCAGCTTATGTGCGCCGTACAATTGGGCGGCAGCTTATGTGAGCCGCCCAATTGGGCGGCAGCTTTAGTGCGCCACCCAATTGGGCGGCAGCTTTAGTAATGTTCTCCACACGCGGCGGCACCCAACTGGGCGGCAGCTTATGTGCGCCACCCAATTGGGCGGCAACTTATGTGCGCCACCCAATTGGGCGGCAGCTTTAGTTCGCCACCCAATTGGGCGGCAGCTTTAGTTCGCCACCCAATTGGGCGGCAGCTTTAGTACGGCGGCGGCAGCTTTGTGCGCCGCCCAATTGGGCGGCAGCTTATGTGCGCCGCCCAATTGGGCGGCAGCTTTAGTGCGCCACCCAATTGGGCGGCAGCTTTAGCCATGTTCTCCACACGACGGCGGCAGCTTTAGTAATGTGCGCCACCCAATTTAGGGCGGCAGCTTAGTAATGTGCGCCGCCAGCTTAATTGGGCGGCAGCTTTAGTGCGCCACCCAATTGGGCGGCAGCTTTAGCCATGTTCTCCACACGACGGCGGCAGCTTTAGTAATGTGCGCCACCCAATTGGGCGGCAGCTTAGTCATGTTCTCCACACGACGGGCGGCAGCTTTAGTGCGCCACCCAATAATGTGCGCCACCCAATTGGGCGGCAGCTTTAGTGCGCCACCCAATTGGGCGGCAGCTTTAGTGCGCCACCCAATTGGGCGGCAGCTTTAGCCATGTTCTCCACACGACGGCGGCAGCTTTAGTAATGTGCGCCACCCAATTGGGCGGCAGCTTTAGTCATGTTCTCCACACGACGGCGGCAGCTTTAGTAATGTGCGCCACCCAATTGGGCGGCAGCTTTAGTAATGTTCTCTCCACAACGGCGGCAGCTTTAGTAATGTGCGCCACCCAACTGGGCGGTAGCTTATGTGCGCCACCCAATTGGGCGGCAGCTTTAGTGCGCCACCCAATTGGGCGGCAGCTTTAGTGCGCCACCCAATTGGGCGGCAGCTTTAGTAATGTTCTGCACCCAGCTGGGCGGCAGCTTTACAACCATGTGCAGGATGCACCTACAGTGAGCACTTTCGGATACTTCCTCATATTCCTGGCAGCACATCATTATGGATGAAGTACTTACACATTTCCTGGGCTTCATTGAATGTGTTCTCTGAATTCTGCGATTTTTTTCCACATTCCAGTATATGACTACGCAAAGTATGCGAATAGTTCTGACAGTTTTCATTTAGTCACATCTACATCAGGAGATGTTACAAACTCCCAGAGGTACTTGTAGCCGAGCCTAAGCCTAGCAGTGGTGACATCTAGAAGTCTACTAACCCTTATTGAATGATCCATAATCTTGCGGTACTACGTGCATAATAGAATGAGTAACTGGTGTGAATTTCACCAAGTCTATGATTTTTATTGATGGTCCCGGATTATTACTGGTGTCAGACTGCTCAAAGTCAGTCCAAGATGGTAATTTATTCTTCCCTTGAGTAAAAGGTCTTTGCTAACTCAATTCTATCATGCATTTGGAAACCAATATGGGAAGTTCTTAGATGAAAACTATCTTACTACCCAATCCTCCAAAATATGTACTTAAACCATACAACATTGTAATCATTGCTTTCAAATGGTTATATTTAACGCATTTTACTACATTTCCTTTAATTTTCAAATTATGCTACAATGTACCTGTTGATAACAGGTACATTAAAGTAAAATTCGAGGGTTAACTTATTTTGCTATAAATTACCTACTTAAAATTATCGGTTAGATTAAGGACCTGCCCGAAACTGCGTGTTATTGACTTTACAAATAAAAACATCAATGCTACGTATTCAAACCCAATGTACCTTCATATATACAAGACCAAGTGATGACGGGCAGGGCATAGTTTTAAATTTAGATTTTGCCCCGAGGGGCGAGTTTATTGGGCAGCGCCACTCATCCTGTGAGTGGACACACCGCCATAGCAGCATGTACAACGCTTCCCAATAGGAAGAAAACCCGCTGGGTTATTCATCCTGTCACTTGTACCCAGACACAGCTGGGACTTGACTGTCAAGTGAACAGCTTCTCAAAACTAGAACATTGTCAACCCTTAAAATCTTACGTTATCGTGCGGGTGCAAATCGGGGGAAATCTCTGAAGTATCTTATATTTGACTGTTTTCCTAGCTTAATGTGGGTATTATGCTACACATTTCTAATGACTTAAATGTTCACACACTCGGGTAGTTGTCAAGGCGGTGTCTATCACCACAGATTCTGCAACTTTGCTGCCCAATTCCGAATCTCCATGGATATTTGTATTCAAGCCGGATTCTCGCTATTACCGATTCTCTCACGCGGCCACCACCTCTTCGTCCATATTGATTGGGATTGCCAGTCGCAACTACATTGTATCAGCGTTCAGATTCACTGGTTTGTTCTTCTATCCTCCTTACCTCAGCAACATTGTCACTGATATTTTGCCTGACAATACCTCTAATTTGTAGAAATCGGGTATGAAAAACCTGTATGGTCTCTCAGCAGCTAGCAGAAGATCTGTTGTGCATTTCCAGACTCCAACATGGGAGTGGATCCACAAATTTAACGACTCTTCCTTGATTGGTTAGTACTCTCAACTTCGGATTTCAGCAGCTATTGCAAGACTTTCTGCCCGACTAAGGCTTTGTAGCGCTGTTTGTGAATCAATGCAGATTACTGCAAATTGGCGTTTCGTTCAAAGAACCTTAACGCCATAACAATGGCAGTTTGCTCTACTGGCGTTGAAGAGCGTAGTTCTCAATACGGGCTTTTCCTTCATTTTCACGTCTTAAGGCATTGTTCCTCATTACAGTATGCTGCACCAGCCCTGCCATGACAGGGCCAAGATGACCCATCAGTGTAGATTTGATCCAATTCATTCCCAACTTCTTAATTTAGGTCATCGTTTTATTCCGTCGTCGTAGATGTTCAGTTCAGAGTGTCCTCGATGCCTTCTCTTGTGTGGGTGTAGTTGGCGGGACC